GGGGGGGAATCGGAGGGGGAGATGAACCATGAGAGACTATGGACTCTGAGAAACAAACTGAGGGTTCTAGAGAGGAGGGGGTGGGGGGATGGGTTAGCCCAGTGATGCGTATTAAGGAGGGCACATATTGCATGGAACACTGGGTGTTATAAGCAAACAATGATTCATGGAACACTACATCAAAAACTAATGATGTAATGTATGATGACTAACATAATAAAATTTTTTAAAAACAAAAACAAAAAAAACTGTTTCATCAGCTACTTATGTAAACAAAGTTTCTTGTCAATGGTGACTACCAAGAATTCGAAGACCTATTAAAATATCTTGATCGAGAATTGGATATAGCCGTATCAAGCATGCAACTTGATATTTACCAGTTCTGTCTAGAAAGCAAGATCAAGTTTCTCATTAAGGTGTTTTAAAAATGTGTTTGGGAATTTTACACAAAATCAGTATTTAAAATCTTCTCTAATACTTGGGTTTTACTGATTTTCGTTATTATAGCATATGAAGAAAATATAATATTTTGTTCTACTAACCGCCAAATAAACACTCAAAATACTCCTTAACTTAGTGCTATGAAAACGCTTCATTTTCTATGTGCACCATGACATAAAAAAGGTTGGGCTTGGAATGGAGTAATGAGCCACATTATCACAGAGAACAAGATTTCACAGTACTTATTTACTACGTTAACATTCTAAGCAGAGGATAATGCTCTTGGCTCCTTTCCCTTTTAAAATTTAGATCAGAATTTATCACATATACCACCACCATTATTGTCCATCTCATAAAAAACCTGCAAGAAATGTTCAGATTATATATGGCCTCCCTTTGTATATTACCAAATCTTACTCATTCTTCTCTGTACAGCCAGCTCTGAAAACCCAACCCTGTGACCCTTTCCCCTCAGAATCCCTCTTCCCTCTGCTTTGAGCCTTTTCACACATCAGGTTATCTTTTGACAAAAAATAATGGCGTCTTATCTCATAAGCAACTTGAGAGGATCCCTGTCTTAACTTCTTCATATCCCCCATGATTCTGAGACTACACTAAGTAAGCTCTTCGTGGTTATCACTAATTACTACAATGCTGTTTGGAGAATCAAACGTTAGGAATGAATTGAGATCAACTAATGATTTCTTTGTAATACATATTCATTTTTGAAAATATGAAAAATATGGGTAAAAATCACAATTCTATTCAGAAATACCCATCTTTATCCCTTTCCTTCCTGTCTTTTTCTGCACATGCATGCATTATATAAGCTGCATTTTTAAAAAATAAAATTTGAATCCGAGTATATGGAGTTGGTGTTTGCTTTTCCGTTTAATATAACTGTAGGGTTTTCGCTATGTCAAGTAAATTATGGCACATCCAGATATTTTACAAATAATAAAATGATGTCTTAGAACAGTGCTTCTCAAATTTTAATGAGCATATAAATCACCTGGGATTGTTACAATACAGATTCTGGTTCAATAGGTCTTGAGATGGATCCCAAGATTCTCTATTTCTAACAACCTCCCAGATGATGGTGACACTGCTGGTCTGTGGACCACACTTTGAGTAGCAAGGGCTTAGAAAATAATATATATTCCAGTGATGATGAACACACCTAATTTTCAATGTCTGGCTCATATGCATTGAAATACCATATCAATGGAGTGATAAGAATCCTTACACACAATGCATAGTACACATACATGTGTACTATGTATGCATATAGGCACAAAGATCATTAAAAACCTAATTACTGGCCAATGTCAATAGATATCAGTCTTTCCAAGACTCTGGATGCATACAAAGGACATTCCATAAAAAAGCAGACCAGTGGTTTCCAGGGAACAAAGGGCAAGGCAAAGAGGGAGGAAACTTTTAGGGGTGGTGGGTATGTTCATTATCTTGATTGTGGTGATATTTTCATGGATATTTTATATGTACAATCTGTTAGAATGTATCAAATTGTACACTTTAAATATATGCAGTTCACTGTCAATTACACAGTAATTTTTTTTAAATACAGGGGGAGGGGAGGAGCCACAGAATCTGTTCCAGAAAGGTGTTTACATTCTACCAGCTGCATCTGCAAGCACCTACCTCATCACACCTTCTTCGGCAGTACTGCAATTCTTGAAAAAACAAAACTGCTAATTTAAAAGGCAAACATAACTCATTTTTTTGGATGTGCATGGTTTTGATTAGTAGTAGACTGAAATTTTTTTGTGTTGATCAGTTCTTTGCTCATTTTTCTTTTGTTACGTGAGTGTTTCTTACCAATTTATAGGGGCTCTTCAGATATTTGTCAAAAATATATCATCTATTTTTTCCCCTCAGTTTGATGTTTACCTTTTTGTATACTTGGCGTAATTGTAATCTATGTAGACATTTTAAAGAAGTTCAAGGCTAAAAAAATAAATAACAATAAAAATCTTAACCCAGCTCCAAACACGAACAAGACTCAAAGTTTAGAACACAGAATTAGGCATAAATGAAATTAAAGTCTTTTCCAAACACCTAATTTCTCTCACAAGATGGCTGACTTATCACCACAGAAGCAAGCCGTGTATATCAACACATCAACTTCTACCTTTCACGTTCACTCTTTTGGTTGGTTGATACAGTAAAACAGGTTAGTTTCATCATTTCTACAGTGTGGAGACAGTGGTACTAAGATATAAAATATTTTGTGACTTGATTAAGAGTAGTCATAATTTGGATTTATAAACTCCCTAGTGATCCTCTCTCACTGAATGAGAAATGGGTCTATGAAATCAAACTGGGGCTGTGTGGTTTGGGTTTTTTGGGGGTTTTTTTTTTTGAGTCAGTTGAATGAATACCAGAAAAGGAGAATATGTAAATATTCTCCTAGAGGAATAAATCTTTCTATCCTGAGACTTATATATTATTAAACTGTTTCCCTTTGCTGTACGTGGAGTCTCACAAGACTTTTTTAGACTACAAACCAATAAAAAATGCCGATACTAGTAATACTAGTATAAAAGAGGAATGCCTTTTTAATCTGCCATGCCAACCGGTACAAATGCAAAGAAACTACTTCCTCAAAAGGTAGTTACAAGTATTCATAAAATTGTCCAGTCCTTTGAACATGAGCCATAATTAGCCACTAGAAGCAATAGATACACACATAACATTTAAAGAATGAATTTTAGTTTCTTTAATAAAATATTTTCAACTCCCATTCTGAAGCTTCTAAGGGTTAAATTGTTGGGCCAAGGACACAAAGCTAAGTGCTGTCCAATCTGGAACCAGAATCCAGATTTCCTGAGACCCAAGCCAAAGGGCAGTAGAGGATGGAATGATGTGGGCATCAGTGCCGGGGCTGAGACTCATGAAAATCAAGTTCTTTGAGCTCTAACTTCCTCAACCATAAAAGGAGGGAGGTGGGTTAAATGATTGCCAAATTTCCTCTCGGCCCTAACCTTTCCTAAATGCAGGCCGGATAAGTGAATAAAATCTCTGACAGTTGAGCAGTCCTATGCTGGAGCTTTTTTATGGCCGCCCCAAGGTTCAACTCTCTTAAGCCCAAGTCAGCTCAGGCTCACACTCCAGCCCTGCCCTATTACCTGCATAGTCGTGGCAAATAATTTATCCTCATATTAGGGATAAGGAAATGAGAGCCCCCAAGAGGATCCTAATAGAGCTATACCTCTAAGAGTTAAGATAATGAAAAGAGAGCATAGGTGTGAGAACTTAGCTGGGTCTGGCAGAGAGCAAGATGTCCAGAAATTGCAGGTCTGTGTATTTGGTGTACCTTAGTTCATCCGGGCTGATGTTAACAGAATGCCATCAACTCGGTGGCTTATCAACAACAATTTATTTCTCGCAGTTCTGGAGGCTGGCAAGTCCAAGATCAAGGCTCTGGTGGACTCAGCGTCTAGTGGGGGCCTCTTCCCTGCTCACAGAGGGTCATCTCCTTACCATGCCCTCACATAGCAGAAGCAACAAGGGAGCTGTCTGGGGTCTCTTTTGTAAGAGTACTAATACAGTTCACGAGGGCTCCACCTTCGTGGACTAACCACCCCTCAATGCTCTACCTCAAATACCATCACATTGGGGGTTAGGTTTCAACATAGGAATTCAGAGGGGGCGACATAAACACCCAGTCTCTTGCACGGAGGTAAAACCATTCCAACTTAACATGGCATCAGGATTCATAGCGAAAGTCTCTGTGTCCACGAGTCAAACACTAGGTAGACAGCTATACCGCAGATTTGAACAAATATTTCAACAAAAGAATGAACAAACGTAACTGAAAAGCAGTCCTCAGGTCTGACTCACAACATAGTTCAGCTATATATTTAATCTAAATGACTTCATGAAATGGTGGGGGGGGGGGAGGGAAAGGAAGGGGAAGGAAGGACCTCAGCAATGGCAAAAGTGACGTGAGCAACCCACAGCCTACCAGGTTTAATAAATTTGGACTCCTTGCCATCTCTGCATCTTTCCATGGGACCCACAAACCACTCCCACCTCAAATGCCTGTTACGAATGCAGACGCCCCATCTGCAGCCATCCCGCCCATGCTATTTCGTTGTTTCTTACACACGCTGCAATTCGAGCACCCGGCTACCATGTGGTCAAACTGAAAAATGTGGTCAATGCCTGAGTCCCAGGACAGCTTACCGAGAGAGTGCAGATGCGCAGATTTCGAACACAAGGACTGCCCAAGCCACCTCAGCCGCAGCCCATCCCAACTAAGGAACCAGTGTTCAATGCATCAAAGCTAACGAGCAAAAGTAAAACCTACAGCCCACAAAATCTGTCAAATATCTGGGCCCTGGAGGGAATAGGTATGGTTGGGAAAGTGACCCTTCTGGAGTCACCTTCTAAAATGCCAAAAACAACATTTCTTCCACTCTTAAAATTAATTTTAACAGTGAACTGAAGTGACACTTTCTGTTATGGTGAGCAGTAAGGTGAATGCCACTGACAACTGAATTGTAGTCTTTATTAAAGTTCTTTTACAAACTTACGTCTGCTAATACGAAAAGTCCGCTTTGACTTTAACACGTGCTTTGCAGATTTACATCAGCAGTAAGAAAGGCTTCAGCTGAGTAGAGTTTGGTCTTCAAAAGTGTGACTACATCCTGCATCTCCAGCCTTTCCACCTCCCAATTACGGACCTTACCAAAGAAGGGGGAAAATCATCAGTTTGCAAGAAGACGATGACAGTAAAATAAAAACTAGTTTCAAGATCCAAGCATATCAAAGTAACATCAAGCCAACTGGTTTTTAAAAACAAGTGTTATCTTATAATTACTCATATTTTAAAGGTTTAGTAAGACTATGTGCTAGGGCTGAAGAAAGCTCTACCAGTGAAACTTCTAAAAACTTTAAAGGCCCTCTAAAGTGTGCAAAAACTCCCTTCTTGGGATAATCTTCCCGAGAATTCATATAATATCCATTATGGGGGGAAAAAATAGTAAATAGTAGCCCATTAAGAGAAACGTGCCATCTCAACCTCAGTTATCTGCACGTAATCCGTATTTGGATACAAAAAGTACCATAATGAAGATGAGAATGTTCACACTTCACATTATGTGCAGGACCAAATGAGTGGCATTTAGAGAGATCCCAACATTAATATATATAAGTTCATTCATAAGGTTGTTGCTCCATACAGAGCCATCTGGAGAGGCTAGCCAAGCAAAGCTGTGGAGCTTGGAATGAAAATGAGGTGTGAGAGGGAAGAAGAACTCTCCTCTCATGCCCATCCAGCTTTTCCCGGCTACAAACATCCTACAACAGCCTCACATCAACCCATGAAAACAAAGCTTTAATTCACATCTTTTCTTCCCTTGTTCAAGAAACTCTGGAAATTGAGTATCATGTCATGGGTCTTAAATTAAATAAGAAAACTAATTATTTACATTTCTCCTCTTAACAAAAAGGAATAAAATTGACCAAACGTAGCACTTATAAAACTCCTGGTAAATAATAGTTATCAGCTGACTAGAAACCACATCATGAACAGAAATTTTCTTTTCCAAAGAAAAAATAACTAAGGTACTTAGTCCAACACTGCTGACGATTCCTCTAGAGTCCTCGTAACCAAGCTCACCCACAACACCCCCGGCAGAATGGATATCAATAACTGAAAAGTATTTCGTTTGCATTTTTTTCTTACCAAGATTACGTGAAAACCCATTACTTTCAAATGTCGCATTTTCAGAGCAAGGAATCCTCTGGGGTGGGCTAAATCCAAACAGTAAGTAGATCTAGGAACACACAGTACAGCTACTCTGAAAATGAAAATGCACAAAAGAAGACCCATTACTAATGAGATTACAACCACAATCGTGCTGCACTCCTGTTCTTTGGAGATTTTAAAGTCGAGTTCTCTGCTGACCACAGTTGTCACCGTTCCCTCCTGCCCCGTCTTCCACGTTGTTACTTGGCCTCTGCAAATACTCCAGTATATGAAGGCTACAGACACCAAAAGCTTATAATAATGTTTTACATGATTAGCCCTCAACCATCTTTAAGGATGGCTATATTCTTGATGAGGAAAATATCCAGATAGGAAAGCATTTTAAGGCCTTCCTGTGCAGTGTTAATCTCTGATCTAAATATAATTATTTATGCTACTAGAAGTATTGATGTAGATAAACCAGATGACAAATGCTCTTGTTGTACATATTGTCTCCCAGAGAGAGAAGCATTTAAAAGCCAGAACAGAGAGAGCAAATACAAAGAAGAAAACACTACGAGAAAGGCCAGGCTGTTAAAAAGATAAAATCTGTATGTGTAACAAAACATGGAAGGTGTAATTTGTTTTTTCATTGTTCTTGGCCTTTTGGAAAGATTAAGTTGTTTGGGGGAAAAACAAGACCTTTGTATCCTTACTGTCTTCTGTTATACTTTGGCTGTTATCTGGGATAACATAAGAGAAATTTTATTTTTTAAAGGAATGCTCATATTCCTTACTTCTCCTCAGTACTTTAGGCTGAGAGTTGCTATATTATGAGGCCCAAACAGTGGAGTACCTGAAAATGAAAAATTATCTTTCACAGAGGTCAAAGAGAAAGCCTTTCTTTCAGAGGAGATGGGTAATGTGTATAGGGAAGGTCACAGTGAAAAAGATGGCCGAGGAACACGCTAGATAGATTCAGAAAGGGGTAAAGTTTACAGAGTTGGAGAATGGAAAGGCATGAGCAGACAGAGCGTGAAGCCCTACAGATTTCTGTTCTCTACTGTAATTATGTGCATGTCCTATGAAGCAATGGGGACAGAAGTTCCTTGGGGTCACAACCCATGTCTGACTCATCTTTGCCCTGCAGGGCCTTTCCACAAAGACTGACTGAACACAGGGTGTGTGGAACACGACCTGAAGCATCTGCACGGATAATTTCGATTATGTTAACATTGTTCTATTGTATTACTCAGCTTTAAAACCTAATTTGTAAAAACTGCCTATTTCATTACATGGCTCAAGTGCAGTCCACTGTCTTTAAGGAATGTCTGTATTTACACCTAAGCAGTAGATTAATGGATGATAAGTCTCTTGGTATATCACAAGCTCTGCACAAATAGGTCTTAGTATTGTTACTGCTACTTAATATGAAGTCTTTGAGAATTAAATTCAGAAAGCTCGGCAAATGAATATACATCAACAACCTTTGAGTATCTGCAGCGGAAGTTACCACGTCGGAAAATGGAAGCACTTGACTCCTGTTAATATCCATTCTTACTTCAAAATCTGAAAGAAAAGAATTAATTTTTCAAACACTGCTCAAAGTGATACTGTTTCCAAATGTGTACTAACCCTACCAATAATGAGAACGGCATCAGAGGCAACATATGATGAGCGCACCATGTGCCAGACTCCAGGCTGGGGTTTATACGCATCACCTCATTTATTCACCACAGGAGCCCGATGAGGCGGGCACTCCATCTATTGCCACTTTACGGGCGAGGGGACGGAGCAAGGGACAGAGCGAGGGGACGGAGCGAGCGCCTCACGAACAGAGCACTACCACACACAAAGCAAGACTCCGAACCGGCAGTCCAGCTCCGGAGCCAACGCTCCACCAACCTGCTGTGGAAAACTCCTCATCTCCGCCCGAAATAAAGGAAAATAAATAAAATACAATAGAGGAAAACCAAAGAAAGCCCCATACCGATATGGTAATTGTGCGGCAACTGTCTGTTTTTTGAGAAGTATCCTTCTCCCAGAAGGCTACTTAGCGCATCTGCCACCTTCACGTTTGGATACAATGCCGTGGACGGCAGCGGTGGTGGGGCCAAATCTACCACGTTGTGACAAGAAATATCCAGTTTTAGGCAAGCAGCCAAAATACGAAGCTTGTGAGCATTCCTCTCGTCACCTAAAAAAAGGAGGAAAAAACTATACAGTTAAGAAGAAATATTAATGCCACGCTTAAGACATTGTATTAATGTACCTATATTTCTAATGATCTGTTTCTTCTCAGGAGGAATCTCTCTGGGTCTCCCTAGTTCCCACAGTGCCTACATCGGTGCCCGGTATTTGATTATGCTTGAAAGTTTAAAAGATCTTTCTGGGTGATTTAGTCTAAACTCTTCACTGAATGATGAGCAATGCCCAGGAAGGTTCAAATGCCTCATGATTTACCAAAGGCCAAGTTGGGACTCAAATCCATGTTTCCTGGGTTTAAAAAAGCTGTTTCCCCCACTGTCACCACTTAAAAAAAATCAGCACGTGCTGCTCCTTCTTCACAATTTGACTTTGGAATTTCCCAACACTGTTTTTAAAAGAATTTAAACTTCTCTATTCTCAGACACATCATTGAATTTTGTACATCTAGCCGGATATTGCTTTTCTTTATTTAATATTAAAGACCAAAGTCAACAATTAATTTCATTCCAAGAGTAAATAAGTTCACTACTTTGGGAACTATTTGACTGCTTGATCTAAGAGCCTGTGTCCTCATTATGGGCCAGGAGTGACAAAGTGATTCAGGCTGCAAAAGCTGACTGAACTCAGCTCCAAAGGCGACATTAAGGATTAGGAAGTACAAACACCTCTGATCAAGGCATAAAGAACACCGTGAACATGCAGCCTTCATGCAGGTGCAGACGGTATAAATAAAAGGAACAATGGCGATGTGTTTCTGATCCTTGCCTTCTGTACGTTAAGAGTCTGTTACTAAAGGAGGCTGCATAGGTTTGCCGGTTTGAAGCACTGACCTCTGACTTCACCATTTTGGGTCCTTTCCTCAGTAGCATCTGCTCCGCATGTTTTAACCAACTCTGCTCCAACGATGACCCCATTCAGAATCACAAAGTAGCTAGCTAGTGGGACTGCCTTATATCGGTCACCACTGTATGCGGACACCATACCTGACATCAGTTCACTGATGACGTCCTTTTGGAGAAGTGGATTAATAAGGGCCATGGGAAAATGGTTCATCAAGCAAAATGAACACACAGCATTCAATAAATTTTCAGAAGAGATGTGGTGGAGATAACCAGTCAGAGAAGTAGCCATAACTTCTTGGAACCTTCAGGGGAACAAAGAAAAGTCAGCTTTCAAATATAAATAGAAGACAAGGTCATGGTAGGGAGAGTAGGGTGCCAGAGAACCAAAGGAGTCCAAAGAAAGGAAGTAAGAAAATCAGACTGGCATTATGTCTTTCAGGTCAGGTGGCTATCTCAAAATAAATACATATTCTCAATAAATGGTAGTTAGCTACTGCTACATGTCTTGTGCAGAGTAAGTATTTCATAGGCTGTGACTCATTTAATTCTATTAAAACTTTATGGAGCAGGTATTCTTCTTCTTCTCATAATAAAGATGAGTGAACAAGTTCAGAGAGGTTGAGGAACTTGTCTAAGAACAAACAGCCAGGAAGTAGCAGAGACAGTGTTGGAATTCAAGTTGTCAGGCTCCAGAGCCTTTTAACTATTCTCCTGCATTTTTACCATGAGTGTGTCTGTAAGGTCTGGAACACCACCATAGTTTCACAACCAATTAAAATTCTCTAGCTATCAATATTCTGAGTTAAAAGAACTGCAAGCCTAATCCTACCACGCAGAACTAATGTCCTACAGTATGACAAAGCAGTTAAGCATGGATGAAGAGAGCAAAGATCAATTCAGGTGGGGCCCCCTGCCTAGGGTGACATGGTAATAAATGGCACAGACAGGTTCTGAACCCAGGTCAGGCTTAGGACATAAGCTATCTATTGTTCTATAAGAAAAAAAATGAATGACACGCAAAGTATGGTGATAGCGCACAGGAAAGGAAGTAGACAGAGCAGCTTTGGGTATAAGGAGAATTTCAGGAAGTGGAAACGATGGGAAAAGGGAAGATCATGTGGAACCGAGCAAAGAAACGGAGGCCTGCAAGGGCACACTATCTGCTTGCTGGTGAGGCGAAGGCACAGAGCTCTGCTTCTTCCGGCGAAGGCAAGCCCGCCCTGGAGCGAGCCTTTACACACAATGAGGCTGTCCAGGAAAAGGCCTCAGATTAGCTGGGAGGTCCCACGGGCAGCAGCAGATGGCTGAGGGAGGGAGTGGGAGGATGTGGCAGGCTAAGCAGGACTGCGGGAGTTACTATGGGGTGGGAAACAGCAGTGAGGCCAGAAAGGGTGGGCTGCAGACGATCACATTTGGAGCCTGGGTGGTAATCACCTATCCGATCTCATCCCACTCCTGTACCTCCTGCTTTAGTAACACCCAACTTCGTGTCCTTCCCTGCGATGCTCTGCTGTTTCTTTCCTCCCTGACTTGAACATGGTGTCCCTTCTGCTCAGAATCTTCTTTCCTGCTTATCTTCCTATGGTTACCTCCTATCTCCCCACCTTTGAAGATCTGCTTAGGTACCACCTCCTCCAGGCAGCACTGCTTGGCATTCATCCTGAAGCTCCACGTCACCAGGCTAGAGTTCTGGTGCATCCTTCCTCTACTGTCATAAATTCTGCATAAAATCTATCACTCCAATTTTCAAGCTGTCTTTAATTGCCAAACTCTATGTGTCTACCTTGCCCATTACAGAGAATCCTGGGAAAAGGATTGTGTCGTGAGGTGCCTGGCTGGCTCGGATGGTGTGGCATGTGACTCTTGATCTCAGGGTGGTGAGTTCAAGCTCCATGTTGGGTGTAGAGATTACTTAATAATAAAATCTTTAAAAAAAAAAAAAAAGGATTGTGTCTTACTCATCTTTGTCCTGAGTACCCAAGTGCTTGGTATAGGTTTTCTGGCTAAATAAACAAATTTAGATGAGGAAGACATAAAGAAGAGAATGTTAGTAGAAAAAGATGAATCAAGAATAATTATGCACACCAAGTTGTGTACATTAAACATGTACAGCTTTTTACATGTTAATCATACCTCAATAAGGTGGTTTAAAAAATCATTTCACATAGTTTTTAGTAAATAACTGATGGAGGAGGAGGAGAGGGAAGAGAAGAAGCAGGAAAAGAGGAGGAAGAAGAGGAAGAAGATCTATGGTGACCACAAGCAAGCCACAGATATTCTCGAGTTCAGGAGCACACTGAGCACCAGAGATGCAAATCTGGGATTATCTAGGGGGTGGTAAGTACAGATCAAGAAGAAACCAGGGGACTGAAACGAAAGTTGAAATGCTAAATATTTTCTTTCTTGGGTTCCAAACCCCGGAACATACTCTGGATTTAATACACCCTCTCCCCTAGAAGCCACCACATAAATAAAATGATTAATGTACCACATGTGGATATACAATGTGCTAAGCCAAATTTTCTACCACTCTCTGCTAATCAACTTCCCAAATGCTCTGAGTTAGCCTGCTTCTATAAATCTGCCACTGCAGCCGAAGACACCATCATCCTTTCTCTGTCTTCCCTAAAGCGTTCATTTGGTACCTCCATTTATTGCCTTCCTCTGGAAGTCCAAGACTTGCCTCCTTAAGTAGACTGGAAGAACAGGGAACACGATGTAACAATGTGGACCAAGTTGTCTCTTGGGATGCCCACAATGAGCTGAAAAACTCCCTAACCACCCAGTGTTTGTTCTCCTAATACCATGGAATCCGTGCAGCTGTTTCTGGAGTTTCAATTACCACTCAGCTTGACAGTGTTTGTCAAGAAAGTGCTGGAGGTACATGAGAGACAGCCTCAGAAGAAAACCAATCCAGGGGAGCAGAGGAAGACGGAATTTGGGGGATATTCGTACACCTTCATTAGGTGCCTATTCTGTGGCAGGTCTTGTGCTAAGTTCAGAATAACAAGAAGCTGGGTCTGACTCTGGAGAGCTTTCTAACTGAGAAGCAGACACAGGCTTATGGACAATTAATTATAGCTCTGTGTCAAGGCTCGACCAGAGATTCATAGAAGATGTGACAAGCACTGGGGCTCTGACGGACAAGCCAGGGAGGCACGGGAAACACAGCACGAACAGAGTTTTTCAGTACAGTGGAGGCTACGACAGGCAGCTGCTGTTCTGCAGGCCCAGCACCACTTCTTGGGTTACGTGCTCCAAAGGGAGGGCGTGTGACCCAAACTCAATCGGATCTCCTCTTCTGGAAATCTGAATCCTGAGGGAAACCACAAGGACAGAAAGCAGCTGAAGTCAAGTCACTCACCTGATGGCAAAGAGATGGTCTGTGACTCTTGCCACTGAGACTCTCAGAACTGGCCTAGTTTGTTCCTGCCACCCTGTGACTACACTGTAATTCTTTTACACAGCTTAACCCATTTAATCCCTGAAAGACTCAATGTGATTAGGAATAACTCTTATTTCTTCTCCCCGTTTTAACAGATAAAGAAACTGAAGCACAGATTAGCAACTTGCCAAAAGTTAAGGAGCTGATGAATGGCAGGGCTGGGATTAAAACCTAAGCACTATGTCTCCAGAGTCTGTGCTTCTAAAAAAATGACATTTTATATACATTTTTGTTTTTAGTGAACTGAAACTGATCTAGAGAGGGAGAAAAGACGTTCTGGGTGGAAAGCAGAGGTATGAAAGAGCCCAGAATGTCTGAGGAACTGCTCACTTAATAGTAGAAATGCATGGTTGTGGTTAAAAATGACAATTATAGAAAGCAGTAATTTGGGACCAAATGAATAGGCAGGGTCAAAACTGAACTATGAACTCAGGAGCTGAGGGAATAAGCTAGGAGAGTTTGAAATGAAGACTCCTATGCTGAATTAACAAATAACATCATAAAGAACAAAGAAACAAGCAAGACAAAAAACCCCAACAAAAATAACTTCACAAATAAAGAATACTACACCTTATTTCTTGATATAGATGACGGCCATGGATGTGTTCACTGTAATAATGCATTAAGCTTATGATAATATGTAACCTTTTCTTGAAGTATGTTATGTGACAATAAAAAAATTAAAAAAAAAAAAACAAGTACATACTCTGTGGTTTGGCATTTGTAGAAGTGATTGAGAGAAGAATACACATGAAGAATACAGATAATGCTTTTCATGTTTAGAGAGGCAGGATCAGCTATCACTTTCTTCATGAACAAGTCCATCAAATCAGTATGTCGAAAGCCAAGGTTTTCAAATAAAATGAGGAGAAAGAGAACCTTTAAAAAAAGAGTGAATTGAGGGAAAACTTTTCAATTATAGAATGCTACCAGTAATTTTTTTAGATCTCAAAAAATTAAAACAGCAATAGAACAGTCCAGATGAAGAGAATATTCCCTAAAAAGAAACAATTCTCTCTTCCTCACAAAATCTGTTCCAGCATTTCCTGAATCAGATGTTAATAAACAACCTCTTTTTATAAACTGAGAACCAGAGCATACAATGGTTTCCATACTTCCATTTCATTTAAAAATAAATCCTTTCTTACATGCTTTTCATACATCAGACCTAAAAACTACCTTAAATATACCTTTTCTGAGGTTTTTCAAAATGACCAACTCAATTTTGAACTATTCCCTCTTCCAAACCTAGACACTTTCTACATTCAAAACATCTAAGAGGTAACTCAAAAATTTCTATATTCAATATTGAGTTGTACAAATGAGAACAGAGATGAAATATACTGTGATTAAATTAAAATTTCCAGTTCACTTCTCATTTCCCTCTTGGAACTTCTCACTATTAGTATTTCTCTTTCCAAAACCAATTTCCATGGCAAACTCAATATGCACCTTACTCTCCAAAGTAAAGTGAACCTAGTGACTGAACACAATTACTGCTGCTTTATTACAAAAAGAAGTTTTTACCAGCTGCTTCATTAGATGTTTCTATTACTAATATAGCCCCCAAATTTAAAGGTTCTTGTTCTGGAAGAAACAAAACAACCTTCCATAAATAGAAGATAGACATAAGAATTAAGTAATGGCATTTTATTCTTCAGAACGCATAAGCCTGTCACATCACCTGTTTTTACTATTCTAAGTCTAAAAAAGAAAAACAGAAAGACAGAAATAATCCTAATTATCCAAAGTACCACACTATCTTTTAAAAAAACAAATAGAAGAACAAACTTCGGACAACATAATTTTTCTTTCGGAAAGATGGTCAAAAGATTAAATAGTATATTAACAGGTAACTCCTAGACAGAAATGATAAAGAGCTATTTTTTCAAAAGTCATTTCAACATTGCAATATTTTAGTCTCTTAACTACTATAAAGCTGACAGAGAAATACCCAGAATGTTAAATGAATTGATGTGCTTCTTGAAAATTTCTGAGGCTTATTCTCAACTGTTAACAAACTTACTTGCTTTAACTTCCAGATGTCAATAGTTGCAGCCACATAATCTGCTATTCCCTTAAAAAGATCTAAATTACGGTACCGGAGGTCTCTGCAAGATTGCAATATGTTGCTCAGTACTTTAAAAGGACACCCATGGATATTACCTTTAAGAATGAGTTAAATAAACAAACAAAAATTACCAGATGGCTTTGAATTTGAAATCCAAGATACTCTACACTCAATATATTTGTTTCTTTAGAAAAATAAAGCACTGTATTTTGTAAAAGACAAAACAAAAAAACTATAGGCAAAAGTAAAACTCAGGTCTAATCATATCATCAGTTATTATTTGTGTAACAGTAAAGTTTTTAAAACTAACAATTACAGTCCAGAACAGTAGGTCAGATGCTAAAAATCATGAAAGAAAAATTCCCCTTACCTATGACCATCTTACTGCATTCATCCAGAAGTATAATAGAGCGGTGATTCATGGCAGCTAATGCCTCAAACATGTGCTGGCTATTCAAATCAGAAAATCTGTCTAATTCTCTCAAGGCTTTCATCTAAAGAAAGACAAACTTTAATCTATAAATTGTGACAAAGTATATTAAACTTTTATTTTTAAGTAAAATGGATAAAGTTTCAGCAAAATGACTCAAACAGATATACAGGTCAAATATACAGATTTATATGTACAGGGGCGCCTGGCTAGCTCAGTGGGTTAAGCATCCGATCTTGGTTTCAGCTCAGGTCATGATCTCATGTGTCATGAGACTGAGCCTGGTGTTGGGGCTCTGCACTCAGTGGGGAGTCTGCTTGAAGATTCTCTCCCTCTGCCCTTCCTCTCACTCGCATGTGCACGTTCTCTCTCTCCCTATCTCTCAAATAAATAAGTAAATCTTTAAAAAAAATATATATATATATATACAAATATATACAAATAAATATAAATCAACTTCTATTACTTCACTTTAGCAAAACTGAACCTAAAAGCACAATGATGGCTTCCTAAAAAACTGACTTTAGGAACTGATAGCAGGTCATAAGAAATTTTTTTTTCAAATCTTACCCACTTGAGAAAATTCAAAATGTGTTTACCTCCAGTTTCCTTTTAAGAGCAATCGGTGCATCTTTTCCAACACATCTTATCACAGCTTGTAATGTAAAGACATGCTCTATTTTCCAGACTTGCTGATCAACTAGTATCCTGCAATTAGACACAATAAATACCACATTCCTAGAATCTGAAAACCAGAAGAATTATTTTAAAAGTCATTTGGTCCAGCTCCTACTTCTAGGCAAGGAAGATGAAGCCTACAGAAACAATCTACCTGCCCGAGGGAGTGTAAGTAGTTAAAGATCGAGGACCAATCTAGCACTATTTCCTCTCACATTATTCTGTTACCATGAACAAACAAATCACATCAGGAGATTATAGTAAGATATCCCATTGCACAGTCAATGAAAAAGGAAATTAAGTATTATTCTCACTGACCTATGACATTAGATCAGTTCCATCAATTTTATAAATTATAAAACTCAAGCTCTTTTTTGGGCCAGGTGAGCATCATGTAACCTCCACACAGTGCCCAAATAACCGTTATGAGCCAAGTACATGTCAGTGCACTCCCAGCCCACATCAGTACTAGGTTTATAAGATCAATTTAGAATTCGATGTTACCCACACAGTTTTTATAATGGACCCTAAGAGAAACATTATTTCTAGCTTTACTTGATCCAGAATCAGGATTTTAAGTTTAATAAGGTATTAAAGACTGTAACTACCAACAAAGTCTCTCCCCACCCAAATAAGGCAAGTCAGTTTTCATTTGGGTTTTTGATTCGAGATATAAACGGAATAGAGAATGCCACATGAAGAGAGTACTTACCGCAACCCTGCTCGAAGAACGTCCACATTCTTGCATGGCTCCATTGCCTCTAAAAGAGTTGACAAAACTGAAAGACATTTCTCATCACACTCATTGATACGTTCCTATTGAAATAATTACAAAAACACTGCAGATGATAAGCCCATAGTAGACTACCTCACCTAAGCAAAAGCACTGAACTGAAGCTTTCAATTAAATTAAGCATCAAACCAATAATTCATAGCCCACAATAAACATCTTTGAGAAATAAAATGTCACATGTAATGAATTTTCCAAATAACCAATACACACTTTTATATATCAACATTTTTTTTACATTTACCATTACCATTGAAAACCCATTTGGTATTGATTGTATTCCTCTGCTTCTGAAATAACTTTTATCAAACATTATTTTTACTTCTTCTTAGGACTCAAGTTCAGCATGAAGACAAGTGTAGTAATATAAGAGCTACAGAGGTACATGGGGCAATTTGTCCATCCCTAAAGAACCTCAGACAGCTGTCCTCTTATAATTTCTCTATATCCTTTCCTGGTATCAAACTATAACTTCAGTTGTGAGTTTTCTGATCCACATCTGCTATCCCATTTTACCACCACTATCTGGGTCTCAAGGGGATCCCCCGGCCTCAGATCCTTCTTTCAGATCTCCTGGGTTAAGGCACTAATCTAGATTCTAGAAATGGCAGTGGGCATAATTCAGAAAGTTAAGAGAAACAACACAGCTTACTTAGGGCTCTACAGTTTAATCACAACCAATTCATACAACTCACAAGAGTAGTTGTCATCACAGGTGGGAAAACTTAGGCTGAAAGAGGTACGCTTTTTTGCTAAAATGGCATGACAAACAAGGCATGAAGTCTCAGGTGAGAACACCAGGTACTAAGAAGAAATAGATAAGGCTGAAAAGAAAAAGAAAGGTCCCATTCCCATGGGAGGGTTTCCATAGCGATTTACACCATTCCATCAATATCTGCTGTGAAAGGAAAGACCATTTGGCTGAAGGGCAAATTCACCAATGACATACTGACATTTCATCTCTAGCTAAAATGTCTTTACAACATTCCAACAGGTCAGGGAGACACAATCATACATACATATATTCTGACTCCAAATATCCACTGCTCACACCTCACCAATGCAGAAGCTATGCTGATGTGCATACCCGTCCAAGCTCTAGTAAAAGCGTTACTAACCAGGTAGTGACTTATCATAATCACTTTTAAATAACTATATAGGGAATACAGTCTACCAAATAAACATGGACATACTGTGTGGCTTCAACACACAGACACACAAGTAAAAATTCATTCTTAATGAAGGACATATGGAAATCACAGTAACATAAAAAGTTAAAAACCCATATGCTTAATAACTTAATTCTACAATAGGATTATATGTGAGATCATCCTCGAAATTTAAAAATTATTTAATTCTGATCACTGAGTTTAGAAGTCTGAGATGTCCACCCTTAAAAGGTACATAATTACGTCAATGCGCTATCATTTCATCATCATATCTGGTGCTTCAGTGAGATCAAACAGGACACTGATTCCCTCGTCTGAAACTAAAAGTGGCTCTTCTACCCAATTTCACTCTTCCTCCAGTCCATTTTCCACTCATACAGTGATCTAAAATATAAAGTTGAACATGTCGACACTTCGCTTAAAATATTTCAATGGATCACTTAAAATATTTCAATGGATCCCCAAAATATTTCAATAATCATGTATATGCAGAAATGAATATAAACTATACGATAACTCCAAAATCCTTACAGAGGCATAAAAGGCTCTTTATAATTTAAGACCCACCCTCCCGTTTCCAGACTCAGATCTCACCCCTACACCCATAACCCCTCCTCCCCGGCCACAATTACATAATTTCCTCCCTATTCCCTCAAACACACAACCCCAGCAGTCTATACTTCAGCACTACTGAACTACTTTAGCTCCCCAAACTTGCTAAACTTCTCTTCTGGATGAACAGCCAATCCTCTTCTTCAAATACTATCCCCTTCACAATCGATCTCTCACTCACAAACTACTGCTCATTCCTTGGATTCAACTTAGATATCATCTCCTACTGAGCTTGAATCCTTGTTCTACCATGAACTAGGTGTTTGTTAATTCATCCAGCAAATCAAGACCTATAAATAGTGATGTTAACAGAAAGGTAATCTTGAGCAGGTTATTTAACCTACGCCTGAATTTCCTAATCATTAGTAAAATGAAAGTAGTATCTGTTTTAAAAGGCTACACTGATGATTACATGAGGCAATTCTGTTTTCAAACTACATACATATATCTCTGCCTCAAACACTAATCCTGTATCCTCCTCCCGTCTCCTCTTCCCATCATGAAGGCCTTCTCCTAAGTTAGAAGTCTGTTATACACTCTTACAAGACTAAATTTTTCTTTCACTGCACTGAAAGCTCCCTGTGGCCATTATTTTGTTCATAATTATATTCCCTTGGGCTCAGCTTAGTGCCTATAATGTAGTAAATATATGACTTATTAAATGAATGTTGGTTATTTTTGCAATTGCCTACAAGTATCTGTCTTCCCCTTTACATTATAAGGACAAGAATCACATCTCCTATATCTCTCTAGTGACAAGTGTAGTAACTGATACATAACTGACACGAAATAAATGTTTACAGTATGAATAAATGAATCCACTAGCTGTTTGACTTTAGCCAAGTTGTTTAACATCACTAAATCTGTTTCCTCATCTTGCAGGGCTAATGAGAGGATTAAATAAGTAAAAAGTGTAGGTACTCAATAAATACTAGTTCTCCCCTCTTCCCTTCTCTCTTACCTTCAACTAATCAACCTTTCCTTGTATATTTCATCTCTCTCCTCATTTTAGTTTATTACTCACTATTAGTCATCTCTGGCAAAGAAAAATGGTGCAAGCTTTCATAAATTCCCACAGCAAAAGGCAAGACCTGGTTAACTTAAGGTCTCTAAATCATGTATATGCAGAAATGAATATAAACTACCTATTCCACTGATAATCTCTTCCAAGGAGGATACATCTCTATTTCCCCTCATTCTTTCAAGATATGCCAAACTGTGTGAAATATTTAAGTCTCCTTTTGATTTTACCTGGACCACCCTCAGCAAAGTCTGTACCAGCAGAGTGTTCTGAGGAATTCCAAGCTTCACCATAGCATGAAGACTGAACAGCAGGTGGTCATAGTGCATGATCTTGGATTCTCTCATCACTTGTTCACACAGCTGGTTAAATGCAGGGTGGTTAAACATCAGTTGTTTTTCAACACGCTTCTGGTCATCAGACATCCTTTTGGCAATTATCCACATTGCTGAAAAATAGTTACTACCGGGAAATACAGGTCCTTCTGAAAATCTATCTAACACATCACTCAGAGAACTACACTCCTGAGACAGTTTTTTATAGTTGACAGGGGTTGGTTTTGTTTCTTTGGTGAGCACATCTTCATTGGAGGCCTGATGATGAAATGTTATCTTCTTCAATCCATCATCGGGGTCAAGAGAGTGTTTTGAATCAAAGGACAGTCTTCTAGGACAAAGCAGACTATCGACTGTAAGGACTGTTTCAGTGCCTATTCCCTTTGTTTGAAAATTATCTCCTGATTTAAAAATTAAGGCATCCTGAAATAGATATCTAATAGATGACTGCACTCCATTACCAAAGTCACTTAAGAGAAGGTTTCTTGGGTTCCAGTTTGAATAAACAATTTTCAGTCTGGAAAATCCCAAAGGATACAGCCTCATAGTTCTGCTTGTTGGAACTAAAGTACTGAATTGTCTGAGGTTCCATAAAAAGGAACCTGCTCTGCTATTCATTGTGCTATCCACTCAAACGCTTTCAAATCGCTTTAAAGTAGTCTATATAATACAGTGCCACTTCAGGGAGTGAAAGAGAAGACAAGTGGTTGTTTACAGAGAAGACATGCCGTTGGTTTCCTGTAGGGGAAGGAATTATAAAAGGAAAAGCAAAACTTTTATTTAAAGAAAGGAAATGAATTTAATAGACACCAAAATGGGAACCCATGGAGACGTTAAAGATGAAAACGGTAAAACTACTTTACCAATATAGGCTTCCTCCACTTCTCCCACAATGTGTAAACTGTCTTAGAGAAGCCAGGTTATTTTGGAAGTAGTCGTCGTATTTAAAAAATAAATAAATAAAGTGAAATTTCAGGTGAAAAGTGTTCCCACAAAGTTTCCTCTTAAGAAAGGCATTTTATGGGCGCCTGGATGGCTCAGATGGTTAAGCGTCTGCCTTTGGCTCAGGTCATGATCCCAGGGTCCTAGGATCGAGTCCCGCATCGGGCTCTCTGCTCCTTGGGAGCCTGCTACTCCCTCTGCCTCTCTCTCTGTCTCTCATGAATAAATAAATAAAATCTTTAAAAAAAAAAAAAAGGCATTTTATGTTACCATTGCTTTGGAGAGGTCTTCAATGAAAAAACTTTAACGTTGACGGATACTTTTTTAAAATGAAGATTTAGCAACGGCCGAACCCGGACTTTAAGCACAGGGGCTGGGACAAGTAGAACCAGTGAGGAGAGGAATCAACAAACCAAAGTGACGCTTGCATGCGGCCTGAGCTTGGGAGGGTGATAAATCAGCCAGTATCCCCGAATCTCATAAAGTGTTATGAGCTAATCTTTCCCAAGCTGGGCCACCCAGTATTAACCCACCTCCCTAAAGGTAAGACCCAAGCAACTCCTAAGATCTTCCTCCAAAATTCAAGAAGTCTACGGTGTAGCACTGCCAAATGCTCCGCCTATATTCGTTGTCCACTCACCTGAGGTCAGAACCCCGTGGTTCTATACAGGCGCAGCCATGACAGCGTTCTCGCGAGCTGGGAGTATCGCGAGATTTTACGGATCCTTCATCGGTCAAAAAGCTTACGTTCGCGGTAGTCGAAGAAGTTTGCTCAGTAAAAAGCTTACCGAAGAGAACGACTAGTTTCCTTGGGTTCAGGTATAGGGACAGGGGAAAGCATAAAGCTTTTAAAGACAGTGTATGATCGTGTGCCCCAACACCTAACCCCTCTGGCAGGGCCCCAGAACCCTCGCTCAACTTCAGAGTGCGCCTGCGCCATGCCGTGGTTGCCAGGAGACCGCCGAGCCGCGGTTCCTGCCCCTGGGTTGAGGCTTTAACATGGCCAAATTCGTGCTTGCGGGTGAGTGATCCCCACGTCCGCCTGTAGATCGCTCAGAACACCGACAACTACTCACCCCCTTTGGTCGCTGAGCAGTGGTTTTCTTAACTGCCTTTTGTTCTAGCAATTCCAGCCTCTATATGGACTACCCCAGGCTTCTTATGCATTCATTCAAAGATGCTTATTGGGCAGGGTCCTCTGCAAAGCACTCCCGGACACTGGGGACACAGTGGGGGAAAAGATATACCTGGGCCTTCGAGGAACTTTCATTCTCACGGAGTACCGAAGCATGTAAACAAGTAATTTTGATCCACTGTAATTAATGAAACGAGGGAGATGTGCACAGGGCTCTGGGAGGTGTTGCAGCAGCTGATTTTGTGAAGGTTTGGGATAGGGAGGCCATTCCAGATAAAGGCACACAGCTAGAAGTCTCATGGCCTAATGGAGAAACTAGATATGGAGGCAGTGACTGGACCTGGGGCTAGAATGGGAGCCACAGCCGGATCCTGGCACCTAAAGTGCCCCAAACAAAGGTGTTTGAACTGTATCTTGAAAGCAATGAGGAGTCTTAAAATTTTTTTAAGCAGGAGAGTATCCTTAATGGGTTTGCATTTTAGGAAGCCCACCTTTGTCAGCAAATGGAGGAAAAGGATGGAAAATGTCACTGGCATCAGGAAAACCACTAAAGGGTCTTAGTAAAAACAACGGGCTATTGTACCTGCCTCCGTCCCTTCTCAGCAAGCTTCCTGAAAGAGTAGACTGCTTTTATTTCTTCAGGTACTTCTTCCATTCAGTCTGGCTTCTACTTCTGCCTCCTTTCAGACATGGCCTTCATCAGTCACCAATGACTTTTACTGAAGCTGTCCAGTCTTTATTGGAACTTTCTGATGCATTAACACAATTGACATCTCCCATCTGCTTGGAAATCTATTTCCTTTGCTTCTTTATTCATTCAGAACATTTTTGAGCACTGACTGACTATATGCTGGGAAGGCAGTGATACAGGCACTTACAAAGAATGTTACATGTGGGCTAGTGGCAGGGCTGGTTCTATAGGAGCAGTGCAGGAGCCTTTAGTCAGGCAAAGGCTTCTTGGATGGAGTGGTTTTTTAAGCAGAGATCTTTAAGCAGAGTTACCTAGCAGAAGGAGGTAGGGAAGAAGAGAGTGATTAACTCATCCATGGCAGGGGCTGGGGTTGGAATGAGGAAAGCTAGAAAATGGAAGTAGATTTAGTAGGATTGTAGCAAAGGGTACAAGAAAGAGAGTGTCATAGGCTGAGGCCAGAATTAGATATAGATTCCTGTGAGCCATGTTCAGTATTTCAAACGTTATCTAAAGTACATAGAAGGCTTTTGGAAGGAGAGGACATAATCAAATTTGCATTTTATCTGAATGGTATTCTCTATGGGAAGAGAAAGATTAGATGCCAAGACCCCAGTTAGTTGCAATAGTCCAGGAAGAAGATAGTGGTAGCCTGGCCTAGTATGGTGGGAAATGGAAATGGAAGGAATTGAGTGAACTAGAGAGATATTAGGGAGGCAGAATTCATAGAACTAAATGTCTGATTGGGTGGAGGAAGGCAAGGGAGACGAAAGAGTTAAAATTATTTCCAACCAGTGGTTTGGAAAAATGGGTAGATGAGTCATTGGAAAAAAAAAGTGGAAAAGTAGGTTTAATACTCTGGATACTCTTAATTCTCTTAAATAACTGAACATAATGAACATAAGAGAAGAGCAAATTTGGTGGGGGAGTTTTGGCAAAATCTGTACTAGACATGCTGAGGGCCTATGAGACATTCAGAGGGAGATGGAAAAATACAGGAAAGTATAAACATCTAGATAAGGCGATAGTTCTGAACTGGATGTGCAGATTGCTACTTGAACCCAGGGAGTGGAGGAGATCCCCCAGGAAGAATGCATAGAGTATAAAGATGCCTTGAAGAATGCTAACCTTTTAGTGGATCAATAGAGGAATAAGAACCTACAAAGTATAGTGAGAATGACCAGAGAAGTAGGATGAAAACCTGAAGAATGACCCCCACCATAGTGGGTGTTTCAGAAGGATAGAAGAAGGTAAATGCCAACAAGAAAATGACCAAAATGTATCCATTGGATGTAGTGACATGGAGGTCCTTGATACCCCTCTAGAGAACTGTGGTTAAAGCCAGATTGCAGGGGGATGGGAAGCAAATGGAAGTGAAGAACTGAGGATGGTAAGTGTAGAGAACTCTCTCAAGAAATTTTAATAGAAGAAGACAGGTAGAATGCAATAGCTAGAGAGGGACATAGGCTTTTTGTTTCTTAAGACAGGAGAAACTTAAATGTAACTTGACTATATTTAAATAGGATGGAAAAGGACCATTAAGAATAGGGATAAGGTGCTGAAAGAGAGGTTAACCAATTAAGCAGAGTTGGTGGCAGTTCTGAAGGAGGAAGAGGGTGGTGTTCAGAGCCTAAGTGGTGAGGTTAGAGCCGAACAGGAGGTAGGAGCCATCTTCCGTGAATAGGAGAAAGAAGGAAAGGATGAGTCCAGATGCAGACAGGCTTGTAGGTATGATGGCAGGAGGTTAGGGGATTTCCCAAATGACAACATTCTTGTATGATTTGGTTTTGTTTTCAGATCACTCTTTTTTTTTTTAAAGACTTTTATTTATTTATTATGTCAGAGAGAGGGAGGGAGAGAGCAAAGCAGGGAGAGCGGCAGGCAGAGGGAGAAGCAGGCTCCCCACTGAGCAAAGAGCCCGATACCGGGCTCGATCCCCAGACCCTGGGATCAAGACCTGAGCCGAAGGCAGACACTTAATCAACTGAGCCACCCAGGCGCCCCTGATTTGGTTTTGCTTTTGTAAAGTAGAAAGCAAGGTTATCTCTTCTGACAGTGTGGGAAAATGGAGGGAAGGAAGAAGTTTGCAAGAAGTGGGCCACGTTTGGAATGGAAATTGTGGAGAACAGAAGAGAGTGCTGATAAGGTAAAAAGAAGAGTCTCCAGGCAGAGCTGAAGGCCAGTTGAGGCCAGTGACCATGAATTTATAATGGCGCCTCTCTGCTTGCTTCTCCCATGTTTCTCCAGGGGTGCCTAGCAGCAGATGGAACCCAGAAACAGAAAAGGCAGGTAACTGCGTTCATCCAGGGTGAGAGGCTTTTACCAGGCTGATTTGCCAGAAACATAGTGGGGCAAGATAATTTAAAACATGAGCTAGAGTGTGGTTTGAACTCATGAACCATGGATTTGAACTAAACAGGGAGGCTAACAGACAGGGAGTGGTTGAGAGGGTTGATGATTTAGAAGTTGCCATGAAGTGGAGGAAGTCACGATTGGGAGTAACTGGGGAAAATTGTTGCAGAGGGGGTTCTGCACTGGGCCCCTGCCCCTCCAACTCCCATCAGACACCCACCCAATCCATCTACTCTGGCGGCTCTAACTTCCTGTGTATTGATGGCCGCAAAATCTGTTTCTTAAGCCCTTACATGGGGCCTGCACTTCAGACTTATAGGTACAGCTACCTGCTGGGCTTATCCACTTAGATAAACTGCGCATACCTCCAGCTGCATTTGTCTACAATTAAACGTCTTACCTGTGGTTTCTGTTCAGTAAGTACAGGATCATCTACGCAAGCCAGAAACTAGGAGTTATCCCAGACTTTTCTCTGCTTCTCCTCCCCCGCCCAGTACCACTCCCTGGAATACATATCAAATCTACCTGTGATTTTACCACCACTCCTCACTTTACACTTTGCCTTTTAGTGGCTACTAATGACTAGCTCATTATTAATAGTTCATGCTTAGTAGCATGGCAGCCCCTTAGAGAATGTGAAGTCTAGCACACTCCTGGAGGAGAATAAATATCCAATCGCCTTTTCTTCTTTCCACATTTTATTACTTAAGATTCTGACCTCCTGTGAGATCATTTTATTTTTACTACTGTTATAAAAATCAGAAGTTTATATGGTGCAGTTTAATGCTATAATTCTATGTTATAAAATATATCATAACTATATGATTAATTCTGTAATTATATGACAAATACTTACAACTACATGATAGCTTCTGTGTGATATAAGAAAATGTTGCAAATTTGAACTCTTTTAGGTAGAGCAGATTGCCCATATTATGCTAAAGCAGAACTCCTAGCAGACTACTTACAAAAGAATCTTCCTGATTTTCGGGTACATAAAATTACACAACATCCTCATGTTTGGGAGGTAAGAAACCTTTATTGTTTGTTAAGCTCACACACTCACAAAAACGTGTTCTGATTTAATGAAATATTAGCCAGTGTTATCAGATGGGCTTCCAGTAATGAATGTTCATGTACTACTATTTTAACACTAATAAAATTAATTCCTACTTAGCAGTCTCAGAACATTATATGTTTTTTTCTTTGTACCTAGTAAAACAAATGAGGCGCTAACCAATCAGTAGAATAAATTCAGCTGTTTTTTTCTCCCAAGAGTCCAGGTAACCTGTATTAACCTTTTTAACTTTTCATTCTCCTTCATTTGATTTCTAATGACATGAGGCACTTGCTTATTTGAAATACCCTTCTTTGGGACTGTGTTTCCCCACAAACAGAGATTTGGGGGAAGGAGTTTCCTCTGCTGGGGGGTGCTCTTGGGAATGATGCTCTGGGAAGGAATGAGGACAGCAGTGTTCTGTAACAGGAGAGGTTGAGCCACCATGCTGCTGCAACAGAGGGCTCAGCCAGCCCTGGCCTCTGAAGCTGGGCTGGCCCTTCAGAGATGCCCCAAATACAGGTAAGGGGGCTGGGCTTTTGTAATGGCACAACTGACAGTCCTTGGATGCAGGCTGCTCTGGGGCAGGGGACTTAACTCTAGGCAAGGGAACCTCTCTGAGGTCAGTTCCTAGAGAGAGACTCAGCACTGAGCTGTCGGCAGTAAATACACCTGGTGACCCAGGGAAAGAGTGTCTTGGTCATGAAGGGGGAATCTGAACGACATATGACAGGATCTGCTACAGCTCACCAGTTGTTCTGCCTTTTGGATCTACATGTTCCATATAATAAATTCATACCATCTGGGAGCAGCTCTTCTGGGGTTCTGGTTGGCATCTTTCCCTGGGGAAACTTGACAAGAGGATGGTCAGTGAAAGGATCCACAGTCTCCACTGCATATCATTTTAGGGCTGTAACTGACACTCATCACCATTCTTGTCTATGATCCAATGTCAATCCCCCTCACCCTCTGCTGGTCTAGGTGACTTCTCAGGTGTGATGACCTAGACCTGTATCCTCGGGGGTCTGAGTCCTAGTCTCCCAAGATGTAACTGGATGTGACTGCAGCACATGTACGCTTGCTGGCAAAATTGAGCAAGGCAGTACCAAGGATGCCCCAGCGGGTCACCTAGATGCCAGATATTCTTTCCTGCCCACATGCCCCTGATCAGCAGGGCCAGGTACTCCTTCCAGGATGGTAACTCCTTTCCTTGACTGCTGTCTCTTGGCACAGGAGCTCAAAGTGACCAAGCAGCAACCATAGCTTAACATTTAGTGGAACTCTTCCTGATAGAAACACCCTGGCACCTCTGGAATTTAGAACCTCCAGACCCATAGAATCTAGAGTTAAGTGGGCTTGGGGAAGCACAAATTCTCCAAGTGGGTCACTAGGTCACTCTTAATTCCATCCCTCGGTTCCTGGATTCATGTATTTCACCTAGTAGGGAAAGCACTATATTGATTCATGGTGTATATTGCATCCTGAAAGACAGTGCTTTATCCTTACAAGGTAGCAACCTCTAAGCACCTTTGGTGAACTGTTCTATCCCTCTATCAGGTGATGTGGTATATAATAGGGCCAGTGCATCCCATGGTTACGTGCCCAATCCCACACATGGTTTACTCCAAAGTGGTTCAAAGTGATGTTATGCAGAATCCCATGTTGCTAGGTTGAACATTTTCTAAGCTCTTGGGCAGGGTGCTGGCCAAAGCCCTATAAGAAGAAAAAGCAGTTCTTTGCCCAGAATATATGTTGATTCCAGTCAAGGTGAATCACTGCCCTTTCTAGGGTAGAAGGGGTAAAATGTAATCAACTTGCCACCAAGAGGCTGGTTAGGGTCTTTGAGGGATAGTGCCATTATCAGGGGGTCAGTGTTGGTCTCTGTTGCCAGCACATTGGACGTTTAGCAGCCACAATGGCTTGATCAGCTTTGGTGAGTGGTGGCTTGTTCTCTAGGGCTGTAGCATAACCTCTGTCTCTTTTGTGAGCCCAGTGTGCCTTCAGCTAAGTCACCTTATCTGCTGGGCTGTTCCATGCTTTTATCACCGTCGATGTTCTCTGATGGGCACTGCCCCTGGCCTCTTTTTATTTAGGATTCTATCAGGGAGTCCAGCTCTATAACAACACGTCCTTTAATAGCCCTGGCCTAGGATGGACAGCCACACCAGTCTTCTCCATGATGCTGAGAACCATCATCAGTGCAGTTCTTATCATTTTGATGGATGTAGTATCCTCCAGGCCCTTCTGGAGAACATAATGGACCAGTAGGTTTCCTGCCTTCCATAGTAGCATATCCACTCCAGCATGCCTATTTTTCTAAGCTTTTTGATTCCTTCTTCCATTGTCTTCTGTGGATGTTCTGGCATTTCTGTTTCATTTCACGTGAACCATCACTTTCTCCAAGCTTCGGAGAGCCATCCTAGCAACGTGTTGCCACTGTCTTCTGAGGTGCTTGCCAGAATATGTACCCTTGAGTTGCAGAAGAGTGATTTATATTGATAAATTCTCCCTTGTCCAACTTTATATTCCACTCTTGATTCTGCACCCTCAGGGTCCAGTCCTATACATATTCCCCCAGTCCTACCAAGACATCAACATGCCCCACTTGGTGCTGAAGGTCCCATGGGGCAGAGTCCCTTTCCTCCAGAGGCCTGGCAATTCACTGGCCAGGCTATGCAATGAATAGGGGAACCATGGTGGAATCCTCACAGCAGCATTGTTTGCTTTAAGGGAAGATAAAGGCAGAGAGATCTTCAACATCAAGAGAAATTAGTTTCTAAGATTTTATGTGTAAGCTAGCCTCATTACACGTGCCTCCAATGACAAGAATGTTGTCATGTACTTTACTCACAAGAATGTTGCTCTCTGTCTCTACTCAGCTCTTATCATTAGAAGGCCTGGTCTACACAAACCAGATAATGATGATTTAAACTGTCTCTGATGAATACTATTAGAAATCCACAGATAACTTTTAGCTCATCAATTCGGTCCGAATGACAAATTATACCCACATATTTGGACAGCAATATCAAATTTAGGTGGCCCTAAGACTGGAAGTATCTCACATAGAGGAGCAAGATAAGAACCAGTTGAATTTTTTTGAAATCAGCTAAGTTGGAAGACTTGGCTTCTCTTTTAAGCTAACCACTTGCATTCTCTGTCTCCTCGGCAAAGAGAGCAACTTTCGGTACCTTTATTTGGTCAGCGAATTTGAAGAATAGTCTCGTATTTGATTAATTTGTTACTTCACTCACCATTATTTTCTCTATTTACTTACAACGTAAAGATATCTAAATTTTATTATGTATGCTCAGTGGTAGTAAAAAAAAAAAAAACAAGCTAGTTCGTGTTTGAATTCTGAAGTATGGAACTGAATTCTGAGACAGATTCAATGGACAACTTCTCTTGGAATATCATTCAATAGGAGTGGTTAAAAGACCTGTGTGAGAAAAATACGTGGAGTCACAAAAAGTCCCCCATCATATGGAGAGAGCTGTTGGATCGTGGAGGAAAGGGCTTGCTTTTGGGAGGATATAACGAGTTCCTGGAATACGCCCAGGTATATGGTTTAAGTTGGTTTGTCTGCTCAAAACATTGCCATTCTCTCAAGTTGTTCTCCAAATGTCTTGCTTTCCAAAGTATTCTCTCTGCTCTCTTTATTCTGTTCTGGCTTTAAACAAGAACTTTCCATTATAATCATTGTCAGTGTTGACTTTTTCTTCCTAATATTTAGCTTTACTATGGTGTCACCTCTAGCATGACTACTGAGCTGATGAAGATAATTGCTCAAGAGAACCTGGAAACACATATAGAAAAAGAACTGGAGGAAGAAATCAGGAAAGATCTCATCCACCCTTTGCAGGTCTGGATCACCAGGTGGGACAGTCAGACTCCAGGATTCATGAGATTGGGTGTTATATTTAGAAAGGACGATAAGGTGGGACTAAGTCCATGATGGAAGAACCTCTGAATGTCAAGTTTGAGATTCGTATGTATAGATATGTACATGTATAGATATGTGAATATATACATATATATCCCCCAATATAGCTCCATATTTAAGTTTTAGATTATAGGTGTATGTATGCACACACACGTATAAAATCTAAGAGCAACTGTATAGCAAAGATCATTACTTCGACAACCCTGTCTCCAGCTCTTGTCTCCTCACTCTGTGTCTCTCATGCTGTCTGCTGCTTGCCTTCTTGCTCTTTGCCTTGCCGCCCTTCCTTCCCATTCCCTCGCTTTCCTTCTCCTCTCCCCACTCCGGTCTCACTGCCTGCTGCCCTGCCTCCCTTTCCCACTTGCTAGTGCTGACCTTGTGTTGTGTGCCCGCCTCAGTAACCAATGTTGTGGCTGGACCAGACTGTGGTTCTTACTACGTTGGCAAGACCCCCTCAGCAATAACCATCAGGAAACGTGAGGAGAAGGGGTTTTGTTACCTACACATCCTGGAAATGACATGGCAGCCCTGGAGCCACACAGTGAAGTCACCGGTGGGGAGAGAGAGAGAGAGAACGTGTGAACACACAAGGCCCCGGGGCTCTGCTTTTATTGGGGTTGAGAGTGGGGGACTTGGTTTTGTGGGCTCACTCTGTCCTGCCGAATTTAAAACCTAGGAGTGGAAATTTAAAGCTTGGGAAGAGAAAAAACAAGCGGCCCGGCTGGCCGGTTACTGACATCAGAGATCTCTAAAACAACTGAGCCTCGGTGTGGGAGGGCCCCTGGTTCCTTAGCGGTGTGGCTGGCAGCGTGTTTACTGCAGATAGCCATCTTTGAAGTGGATACCTCCTCGGCAACCAAAACCTGTAAAAAACAGAAACCAAACCTGCCAGGGTTTATACTACACCTGAGTTTTGCTCCTTCTTCCTTTTTTTCCTCTCTTGCTCCTCACCGCGTTCAGTCGTGGGTACAAGCAGTCTTCACTAGCACCTTTTGTCTCTGTACTCCGTCTCTCGCGGTGTCTCTTGCTGTCCTTGCTCTCTCTCTCCCTCCCCACCCCTCACTGTGTCTCTCACACTGCCCTTCTTTCTTACTACAACTGCATGTATTCTAACAGTCATGTTTCTTTGGAAAATTATTCGTTACGAAATAGTTCAATACAGAAAAGAATTAAGAATGATGTAATAAGCATAAACATGAAACTCACACCCAGATTTAATAAATAGTACATCACCTTTAGATATTCTTAAAGGATTAAAATGGTACAGATACTGTTGAAACCTTCATTGAACCCCTCCCTAAACCCATTGTGAAAATCAAAAATGCCCAGGTGCATTTCCAAACTCCTGTCAGGGTCATTACACCTGTCGATTGGTAGCCAAGCTATAGAGTACCCAGATACTTGCCAGATTGTGGGTACAGATACACCTAGCCTATGCTGATCCTGGGCTTCTTTGCAAGGATTTAGAAAAGATAGTCCTTTCCAAAGAAAAAAAAAAATGTCATTACTTTGTAGACGAGGGTATAAAGTAGAAAAGAGCTATGGTTAAATAAAACTTATTTCTTTACCTTTTTGAAAGAAAATGTCAACATGTAATTAGAGTACTCTGACACCATTCTTTTAAATTTTGCTTTCTACATATTCTATTTTATTTGAAAAGTCTTTGTACATTTCTTATTTGGGGTTTGTGTTCAGATGGTCAGAGCAAGGGATTGGTGGTAAGAATATTTTTGCTCAACTTTTGCTTCCTCACCTTAAAAAGTCTATGTGGTTGTGTATGCCTATTTAAGATATTAAACCACCCTATTAATGCACCTGCAGAAATATCTATTAAGAATAAAAGCTTAGCAGGAGCAAAAGATTTAACCATTCATAATCCGGCTTTGCATTTTTATTAGCGCATCTGTCCCTGCCTGCTACAACCTAATTCCCATCTTGACAAGTGGTGAAGTGTTTGGAATGCACACGGAAATTAGCCTGAATCTATTTGACAATAAGCAGGCAGAAGAAAATCTCCACGTTATCGTGACTGAAACTCAGGACCTGGTGGCCCCCTTGCTCCGGAGCATCTCCATCTGCACCCGAGTGGAGGACGCCTTCCTCCAGGCCCACGTGATCATCATCCTGGACGAGAACACTGACCAGGAGGTGTACACTCTAGAAGACTGCATCCGAAGCAGGCTTCCTTTGTGTAGGCTCTATGGATACCTGATCGAGAAAAATGCTCACGATTCTGTCAGAGTTATTGTGGGAGGAAAAACGTTTGTGAATCTTAAAACCGTTTTGCTTATGAGATATGCCCCAAACGTGGCCCACAACATCATTGCTGTGGCTCTGGGCGTGGAAGGCCAAGCTAGAGCTGCACTGGCCAGAAAACTGAGAACAACCTCCTCATGTGAGTGAGCTTCTGTGTCTGTTTCTGTTTTTCAACAACGTGATTTCAAAGCCGCTAGGAAGAACACTGTACCCCTTTAGGATTATTCTGGATATCTGGAATAGAAAGTAGGAAGCAGATACAAAGAACTCCTTACTGTGTGATTTGACTACGGTGTGAACATTTTTTTCTTACTATTTTTCATGACAGGCTGACTTTGTCCATCATTTAAAAAGTTAAACCAATGTTTTTTTTGTTTTGTTTTGTTTTTAAAGATTTTATTTATTTATTTGAGAGAGAGAGAGTGAGAGAGAGAGTGCAAGAGGGGGTAGGGTTAGAGGGAGAAGCAGACTCCCCGCCGAGCAGGGAGCCCGATGCGGTACTCAATCCCGGGACTCTGGGATCATGACCTGAGCCGAAGGCAGTCGCTTAACCAACTGAGCCACCCAGGCACCCAACTAATGTTTAATATAATAAGATTTCTGTTTTTCTAGTTAAAATTTGAAACCTAATATTTCAATTTTCCATAATAATAGTCAACTAAGGTAATCAGTGTTTTTTATTTTTTTTTTAAGATTTTTATTTATTTATTTGACAGAGAGAGACACAGTGAAAGAGGGAACACAGCAGGGGGAGTGGGAGAGGGAGAAGCAGACTTCCCACCGAGCAGGGAGCCCAATGCAGGGCTCGATCCCAGGACCCTGAGATCATGACCTGAGCTGAAGGCAGACGCTTAACGACTGAGCCACCCAGGTGCCCCTAATCAGTGTTATAAAAAAAAAATCATCGGGGTGTGTTTAAGTGGCTCCACCCCACTTCCCACTGATGTGATGGTAAACATTTGCAAGGGTATTAAACTTGTCCGCAGGATTCTGCTGTCTGATCGTTTTCTGCCCCCAATTAGTCTTGGAACCGATAGACGTCAGAACCACGAGAGGATGAGACTGGATTAGAAAATGGATTGTTGTATTTAAAAGAGGAGTGCTGTATTTGAAAACATTTATCATCTTTAACAAATTTTAGGTGTCCGTGCCTTTAGTTGGAGCAGGTGCAACAAAGCCCATGAAAATGCAGGGAGGTGCGAGGCGTTCCCTCAAGACAGTGGGGAGATGATGAAATGTGAGCCTCACATGCTCCAAATCGGGGCCATAAAGGGCTTCAGGAAGCCCCTACATTATAGGAATAGCTGTATCACCCACTGCTTTACAGGGAGGCCCTAGACCCATCACTTCTGGTATTCTCACACACACATCTTCAGTGCCTCACCCCCAGGTTCAGTGATTACCTTAGCCAAATTGCTATAAAATTATTCAGTAGGAAAGAAAAACACTTTCTAATCATTTTATCTCTGTGCCAACCTTATATACAGATATGTAGACACTGCTTTATCACAAAAGATTTCTGATAACGCTGATCAAAGTGCCAAGAAGAGACAGTGTTACAAAATTTAAAACAAGGTGGGGGCTTTCAACTAGAAAGCTGCTCTCATGTGGGTCTGGTGGTGCCATAAATTGTAAGCTCTCCTGGACCCAAAGCCAATAAGCGTATGAGAAGCAGAAGAAAGAGAAATGGAGAAACGTTGGGTAAAGGAAAGAGAGACTTTGGAGGGACAGAGGTCCATGGGAATGGTCCGCAAAGCAGCAATGAGAGACTCTGCACCAACAAAGCCAGTTTCCTGAAATCAGAAAACCATCAAGGAGAGTCATTCAGTGAAGAGTCCAGATGCCAAGAGGGTAGCAGATCTTTCTAGGATGTCCCTTGAGTTCAGTTCACACATAACCCTGTTTCTCAGACCATGTGCATTGGGGTTGGTTGGAACTCTTCCTGCTGCAAGTGACAGCAAGTCCACTCAAAGCGACTGTAGACTGTAGACAGAGAGAGGTTATTTTCAGGCATAGATGGATGCTGGGGCTCCAACGATGATGTCAGGACTGGCTTGCACTCTCTCTTGACCTATCACTCGGCCCCGCTTTCCTCAGCATTGGTTTGCTTCTCAGGCAGGCTCTCTGTACAGAGTGGCAAAGTGGCCACTGGTGTCTCCAGGCTCATACATTCATAATTTAGCTCAACCCAGGAGAAAGAGGGCTTGCTCTCTCAAATGTACAAAAGGAGCAGGATAATAACTCATTGGCCAGGCTTGGGCCATTTGCCCATCTCCAAATCAATCGTCATGGCCAGGAGTCTGGAATCTGGGACTCCTGCCTATTGATAGACCTGCGGGGTGAGGACAGCCCCACCCAAACCATATGGACTGAAATTGAGAAAAGGTAGTTATTTAAAGGAAAACCGGGATGCTGTTAAAGAAAAACAGTAGGGAAGAAATGTTAGGAGGAAAAACAGCAGATGTCCACTATGATTTTCTCTAGCAGAGTTATATAGAGCCCTAAGTCTGATAAGAAAAATTAATTCTCCCTACTGCCTGCCTTTGAACACAACCATGTGAGGGTATGATACTTAGAGCTGCTACAGCTGTTTTAGGACCATGAGAGGCAGGCTGAAAGAATAGCATCTTTGAGCCGCTGAGCAAGCACCAGTGTTACTGCCTACCTCAGCTTGTTATTGCCCGAGAAAAGTGAGCTCCTCCTAGTTAAGCCAAGTCAGAAGGATATTCTGTTACTTGAAACCTACACATCAAACTTACCTCATGCACAACAGTAGAGAATTTAATCTCCACCGTAGGAAGTGGTATGACTTTGGAAGATAATTAAGTCTTTATTTTTTTTTTTTTTTTTTTTTTAAAGATTTTATTTATTTATTTGAGAGAGAAAGAATGAGAGAGAGCAAGCACATGAGAGGGGGGAGGGTCAGAGGGAGAAGCAGACTCCCTGCTGAGCAGGGAGCCCGATGCGGGACTCGATCCAGGGACTCCAGGATCATGACCTGAGCCGAAGGCAGTCGCTTAACCAACTGAGCCACCCAGGTGCCCGATAATTAAGTCTTTAAACAAATAAGTTAATAAATCAATAAAATTACTTATTTTCACTTCAGATACAACATTCCTAGAAGATCCACAGTTTTAGAATCATATTAAATTTTAATCCCTATTTCTCTCTAACCCCTGTCCTCTTATTTTCCTTCACAGGGGAATCACTTTGTACAGTAGTTGCTTTCTTACCCGCTCCCCTCCACCCCCAGGACGTTGCAAGGATTTGGGCTGATGTGTTTCCTTCTAAACCTTCCACCTAAAAGTGCCTTACACATAGAAGCTAATTCAATTACTTATTGATTAGGATGTTCCTGAGGTCCTCTTATTATAACACCCTCCTTCTGCAGGAAATGAAACCCATCCGGGGGTTAAGTGATTAGCCCAAATTTCTATTCCAGTCTAGAATCAAGAACCTTTGTCAGAACCAAAGCAGATAAAAAGTTCTCCTAATGGCAAGCAGAGTGGTTAAGTTAGGACCACACCAGAGGTATAATTTTCAGTAGCAAGGTCTTTCAGAGAGCATTTCAGTATTTCTTGAATTCACTCATATGGCCTATGTAGGAACATGATTAGGAATTGCCGAACCCTGATGATTCAGTAAATCATGTCATTTGTACATTTGGGGGGAGCATAAACTTAGATCATTTTATAGCAAAAGATCAATCCTAAAACAACACACAGGCAAAAAATAGACTACAGGCAATTTTTTGTATTAATGCTCATTCTTACGTTAATTTTAAATTTCTTTCTCTTCACAGGTATCAAAAATGTGATAGTTTGGGGTAATATTAGTGGAAATAACTACATTGATCTGAGAAAAGCCAAGGTTTACAGATATGAGAGTGCTATTTGGGGACCTCCTAACTACTCACGTCCTGTTTTGAGCTTGATTTTTGATAGGTATGGTATATTTTTAAGTGAAGTATACTAGCAATGTTGGATACATGTATAATAGTTGTTATAATCCTTTAAATCATCTTAAAAATCTTTGAACCAAAATGACTTGGCATTGGTATTGTTCACACTCACCTTTGTTTATGTGCTCTATTGAAGATACAGAAAATCCCACAGAATCCCAACTGGTCAATCCCCACGCCCAATTTATTTGACTTTGCAATTATGAATTTTTATATTTCAGACTATCCTTAAAATGTCTCACATATTCCTTTAAATTTATCTCTAAATCAAGCATCTGCAAAGTGAGTCGGGAATAAGGAATTAAGACGGTGAGCGGGCCGAGGCCATGCTGGGTGTTCTGTCCCAGGAGAGGCAGGACCGAGGACTGGGCAAGAGCACCGTCTCTAGAACCAAGCTACCTGGGTTGGGATTCTCAAGCAGCCACTTCCTAGCTGTATGACTTTAGACACATTACTTAACCACTCTATGTCTTAGGTGTTTCATCTGCAAAGTGGAAATGGTCCCAAAGCATGGGCCGTACAGGGTCGTTGGGAAGATGAAATGGCTTAGTACAGGCAAAGCGCCAAGAACCTCCCCCACTGCAGTCAGCGCTACCTTTATGATGGGGCTGGGGAGAGGAGAGGAAGAGGAGTGGCTCTGAAGCATCCTTCTAAGCTTTGCAGCCCCTTTCCAGCTGTAGCATTTCCTCTCCTTTGCCCCTTCCTCAGGCCAGGGGCACTTCATCCCTGCCCAGAAATGATGCGCCCCCGAGCCCACCCTCCTGGCACATGCTTCCTCTGGGTATGGGCAGTGTCTCCTGGAGCTGTAGGTGCTAGCTTAGCAGGGGCAGCCCTTTATCGCCCTTTATCGCCCTCTCTAGTCCAGCTGGTCTACTCCCTAAATTTAAACTTTAGATGATAACAACTTAGTTATTTCCCCAGTTCTCAATGTGCATTTTCTTTAGATAATGTTATCCCCAGATAACATTTTCTTTAGAACGAAGGATACCACTGGCTCCAAGATAACGTCTACATAGAATAAATTTTTTGAAACTGTTCTTGCAGTCTGACCACTTTTCTGTGTTCCGTATTTCTATTATCATATTTTGACACTTCAGGATTCCTTTCTGTGATATTTCATTACTTTTCGATTGACTTTTTTTTTTTTTTTTTTTGGCTTTTTAAAAATCACTGTTTATTTGTTAGAGGGTTTTTTTTTTCCATACAGATATTTGCAACAATTCTGAATTCCCCAAAATCATTCATAGATGATAAATACCATGCTAAGAAAGTATTAAATTTGTACAAAAATACTTTATAGCTTAATATTTGTTTGTTACAAATAAAAACATATTTCAGTGACAAAATTAAATTAGATGGCATTTTGTTTAGGAGGGTTTCTGGGAGCTCAATCCCCAAGATGGGATTGCCAGCCTGCCCTGTATGTTCTGCCCATATTGCCCTATATTATTATTTTTTTTAACTTCCTTTCCAATATTTTTGACTCTTTTTTATGATGTTACGTTAATCACCTTACATCATTAGTTTTTGATGTAGTGTTCCATGAAGAAGAAGATAGCAGGAGTCGATTGACTTTTTACAGGATTCAAGAAGCTTGAAGAAGGAAGGTACACAGGAAGGCATATTTCTCTTTTATGGAGATGATTTCTTATACTGAGATCCATTGACCCAAAGAACATTCTTTTATTCCCATTCTTCCCTCCGTTGTAAAATCGTTTCTTTCTCTCCTTACAGTGACTGGGTAAACAGGCAATATGTGGAAACTCTTAAAAAGCTGACGGCCACAGGAAAACAATTTGGAGCGATCTTATCTGCACACAGTATAGCCACTACATTGAAATACTGGTACCATGGCTCACCACCTGGGGAGATCGTGTCTTTAGGAGTGCTAAGTGAAGGTCAGTCTGGGTTGTTTTTTTATTTTGTATCACTTTCAAACCTGCCTGTATGCCTCGTACCCCTGCTTCTGTGTCCCCGCCTTCTGCCTTTCCTGGCCTGTAAGCTGTCTGGACTTCCCCAGTACCATACTCACTTATCGTTCAGGCACTCACTCATTATTCATGCACTCATTCAGCCATTGAGAAATTCTGCGATGTTTTGTGTGAATGAGCAGGGAACACACACACAGCTGCTGCCTTCAGGAGACCTAGAGCAGAGGGAAGAAGAGCCAGCTACAAAAACTCCAGCGTTCCACTAAGCTGTTCTCACTGTATCCCAGCTGAGGAAGGGAAAGCAAGGTTGGTTTTAGGCAGATGGCAGGAAGAATTAGGACGGACTTCAATAAGGAGGTGACCCCCCAGGAAGCCTTCAAGTCTGAGCAGTGTTTACCTGGCAGACTAGTGTGCAAAGAACACCCCCCAGGAGCCACAGTGGCAAAGATCCAGGGTCAGGATACGAAGGACCTAGGATCAGGATGCAGATCTTAGGGCACCCGTGGGAATGTGGAAAGCTTCAGCTGCAGATACTGTATATGCATTTTTACAACCTTACTGCTTTCATCTGCTAAAAACTACTTCAGAGGACTTCTACGTTTTTGAAGAGTAGGAAAGAGAGAAGAGTTGTTCTGTGTTCTGTGGGTTCTATCGAAAGCATCTCTTCCCTTTGTGTTTTACTTTCTCCCTGTGCAAACTCATTTGCTGCTAAAGCTTCCTGCCTCCACCTCTCTGCTGAGCAGCAGCCTATGAAACACTGTCCCCTGGACCATGCTGTCACCTCAGACCGACATACGCCAAACTGAACTCATGGTCTTCCTCTCCAATTTGATCTACCTCTTTTGTTCCTTATGTTATGAGTGGAACCACCATCCTCCCTGTTATTCCAGTGACCATCGTGCAGCTCAAGGAAATCTCCCAAATCCCCCAAGTCTGAAATCATCTGTCTCTCCTCTGTATGTGAATAGCATTTTGTCCCTCTGTCAGGGAGCACATTCCAGCCTGTCCTCGTTGGTGGCGTGGTTAATTTCTTTAAGTCCCCTGTGTCCTGTGTTCGAGCGCATACACCCTGAGGGCAGGGCTTTGACTGAGTCTTCCTGCTGCTACTTCAGGGTTAGACACTCAGGGAATCTTGTTTCAATTGCAGTAAGGCATATGAGCACGCTTTTAATGCATAAGGTGAATCAAATCAGTATGTTACCTTTTTAGTGTAATAGGCATTTAAAACCTTATCTTTATTTGTTAACAGTTTAATTTCTGTAGGAATTCACCAATAAACAATGCAATACAGGTGGTGAAGGGCAGGTCATCACTGTCTTCCTGAAACCATGTAGGTAGACTCTTGTATGTTGTCCACCCATCAGGCTGGCTCTTTACAGATTAAAAAAAGAGAGAGTGAACAGAGAACCTCAGATGCCCTCTAAGGAAAGGCCTTTTAGATCCTCGTTTCTTGACTATCCTCACATTTTTGTTCTACTGACCGCATTTTTGATGACTAGAATGGCGAGAATCATTTTCTCATTTGATGGAGGCACAAAAGGCAGGGGGGCAATTCTATCTGAATGTTGCATAGTTAGTAGTAGTAAGTGTTGTCCATCTTTTCATTTGGAACACATCCAAACTGGGCCCTGGGAGCTGCCGGGAAATCATCAACTTCCCCAGCCCCTCCCTCTTCCCCCCCAGGCCTCACACTGCAGCTATGGGACCACCACAGCAGGCTAGAAGAGCGCAAGGCCAGGTGAACAAATGTCTTGGGGTCTTGGGCCAGTGAGGAGGCAAGGAAAGGCCACAGGGGGCAGAAAAAAGGAGTCTAGACAAAATGGAGGAGAAAGACATGAGCCCCCAAGGCACAGGCGTGGGGTCTGAACCAAGCCTGAGGGGACAGAAGGGGTAACAGGAGGGAGCAGTAGTTCTGCTTTCAGAGAGAAACACAGAAGAGAGAGTTGTCAGAACTTGGAGAGATGCTCAGTCAATACTTCTAGAGTAGGTGTTTCAATCCTCCTGGGAAAGGAATTCTCAGAAATTTAGTTCACCGTTACCATTAAAAATCATGTATGATCTCTGTCCTTTTCTATAATGCTTTACATGAAGTGTGTATGGTTCTGAGTGCTTTTGTTTTGCTTTGCTTTCTATTTGCTCACTACAGGCCAGTTTGGTATTCCTGAAGGGATCGTCTTTTCTATGCCTGTAAAATTTGAGAATGGAACTTGGGTAGTTCTTACAGATCTCAAAGATATTGAAATCAGTGAACAAATAATGACCAGAATGACAAGTGATCTCATTCAGGTAATGTCTGAATAGATAGAAGAACCCTGACTTTGATAATGACCGTAAACTGATTCCTCTAGGCCAAGGAACCCACACTGATTTTCTGTGGGTTCAATTTGCATCCTCTTCCTAAAAACAATCAGGAGGCAATAAGACTTTGAAGAAATCAACAGAAGAACACTACTCATTATGTTACATAATGTCTGGCATGTTAAAAATATTTGTTGGTTACTTAAAAATCAAGACCCAAAGTGTTTTTCTATTGAAGATTGATTGATTAAGCTAGCAATTGTGGTCACTTCTCTGATTATAAAATTTTTCAACAGGAGAAACTTGTGGCACTTGGAGATTTGATCAATTTTCAGCCCTATCAATCAGGTAATCTTTTCAATGTGATGTTTTATTGAGCTGCTACTAAAAGACTATTAAAATATTTGTTGGGGCTCCTGGATGGCTCAGTCATTTAAGCATCTGCCTTCAACTCAGGTCATGACCCTGGGGTCCTGGGATAGAATCCTGTATCCAGCTCCCTGCTCAGCGGGGAGCCTGCTTCTCACTCTCCCTCTGCCCTTCCCCCTGCTCGTCCTCTCTCTCTCTCTCTCATGCTCTCTGTCTCTCTCAAATAAGTAAATAAAATCTTGAAAAAATTTTTTAAAATATTTGTTAAAACTGAATCGCTATTGAATACTGGTAACTATAATCTATACTTTATCACTTTTAAATGAAATTATTGACAAAAGAAACTGCCAAGTTTAGTGTGTCCTTCGAAATAAAACATCTCATAAGAATGCTAAAGAAATCACATCTTTTTTTTTTTTAAAGATTTTATTTATTTATTCATGAGAGACAGAGAGAGAGAGAGAGGGAGAGGCAGAGGGAGAAGCAGGCTCCCAAGGAGCAGGGAGCCCGATGCGGGACTCGATCCCAGGACCCTGGGATCGTGACCTGAGCCGAAGGCAGACGCTCAACCGTCTGAGCCACCCAGGCGCCCAAGAAATCACATCTTAAAAACACAATGACCGGGCGCCTGGGTGGCTCAGTTGGTTAAGTGACTGCCTTCGGCTCAGGTCATGATCCTGGAATCCCTGGATCGAGTCCCGCATCGGGCTCCCTGCTCCGCGGGGAGCCTGCTTCTCCCTCTGACCCTCCCCCCTCTCATGTGCTCTCTCTCTCATTCTCTCTCAAATAAATAAATAAAATCTTTAAAAAAAAAACAAAAAACAAAACACAATGACCTTATAAGTGTTGTGTGTAACGTATGTATTCGTGTCCCAGGCCTGCCGTAACGAATGACCACAAGCTGGATGGCTTCAACAACAGAAACTTACTCTCTAGTGAATAAATGAGACCAGCAGGCCTAAATCAAAGTACTGGCAGGGCCACGGTCCTTCAGAAGGCTCTAGGGACGCACCTTTTTCTGCCTCTTCTGGGCTACAGCTGCATCACTCCGATCTCTGCCTCTGTCTTCACGTGCCGGTCTTCTCTCCGTGTGTGTCTTGTTTCTTCTCCTTAAAAGGACACCAGTCATTGCAATCCAGTACGACCCCATCTTAACTTGATTAAATCTGCTAAAACCCTATTTCCAAATAAGGTCACATTCACAGTATCAGGGATTGGGACCCCCATTTGGGAACACAATCCAAACCACAACATTCCATTTACTTTTAGATCGCTTAAAAAAAAAAAAAAACCAATACATTTTAACAAGCCTATTTTTCTCACTGGCAGTTTCTCTAATACTAAGCTCACAAGGAAGTGCTATCATCTTTCTTTGATCTCTAAATATTGAAAATATTTAACAACCAGTATGGTACAGATTCCACCCAATCAAAATAGTTGCTGCCTCTCAGAATGAATTAACTGGTCAAAAAGAACCTGGCAGGGGACAGAAGACTGTCCTTGGTCCAGACCAGAAAGGGTTTAGTGAGGTCAAAGTATGGCAGTGTGGAAAGGGCAGAGAGACCAGGCCTCGAGGAAAAGAGGTTCTGGGCAGAGGATGGGCTTTGGGAATTCAGATCTGGTTCTGCCAGTGGTCAAGTCACTAGGAATGGGCAAAAGCAAATAAAGTCCAAAGGCAGCATGGAATCCAAGGGCATAGACACACAAGTCCGAAGAGCAGTTGGTTTTCACTGGAACTCTTTTATTCCCAGAGTTTAGAAGCTCTCTGTGTGGCTTCCTGCTTTTGCAGAGTAGAGCTGCAAATTCCTTTTCTGAGAATGGGCTATAAAGAAGTCATTCTAAATTTGACTCCTTTGGTAGTTAGTCCTAAATTTTCTGTAATACTTGCATTATAGAGGGTTTGGTGAAAAAGAGTAACCTAATTTTATGCTGTTTTCATTAACAAAGGTCAAGGCATAGATAGATGATTAGATAGATAGATAGATAGATAGATAGATAGATAGATAGATAGATATAGATAGATATAGATATAGATATAGATCTTGATTCTGTCAACTTCAGACCTTGCCCAAAACACTGTTCCAGAGATTCCAACATCAGGGCATTGAAAATAATCAGAATTTTGTACAGTTTGGAGATCTCTGCTTATTAGCATATCAATGAGATGATTCATGCATGAGGTTTGTTTAATCTTTTTGATTAATTTAATACTTAATTTCTTGACTTTTAGAGACTGACATAGCCAAAAGCGATGAAAAGACCACCTTACCTACCACATACAACAACCAGGAAAATCAAAGAGTCTCAGATGGTAGGTATAACAATTGAAGAAAAAAAAATGTCCTTTTTATCCAAGGCTTAACACTAAATTTCGAAGAAAGGAATTTGATCATCTATTAGCCACAAAGTGGAAATTAAATCTTTTATCACCCTCATCCTATATTCAAAAATCAGATCATATTTAAAATCTATTAAAATTTTGAAGGAAATTAACAGATATTCATTGAGCACGTTCTGTATACTGGTCACTGTGAGAGACACTGGAGACACAATGACAGAGTTATAGCCATACAGATATGTCTGGGGAAAGGAGCCCTGAGAATACGAGGAAGTAAATGCCAAGACGCACAATGAGTTTTTTAACTCAATAAAACAAAGCAATACAGGTCAAAAGGAAAGAGAGTATATAATAAATAATCTAGAAAGGCACAAGGAAAAGAGAAGTCCTTGTAATATATGAAGACTTAGTCGTATCTTCAAATCTAGTTGGGACTTAAGATGGTTAAAGATAATGAAATGATCATTTATTCAGAAACTCTGCTGGTTCTGTCACACAAGGTGAAAATATTCGAGATCTATTGTACAACAATGTATACATAGTTAATACTATACTGTACACTGAAAAAACATGTTTAAAAGGTAGATTTCATGTTATATGTTTTTAGCACAATAAAAAGAAGAAAGAAAGAAACCACACTAGGTCCTAGGGATATGAACATAAATCAAATATTGTTCTTGCTCTCAAAGTGCTCACCGTCTAGCATGGGAAACAGCAAAGCCAATCAAAAACTACCCTATTGAGAGGGGCCTGATAGCTCAGTCGGTTAAGCGTCTGCCTTTGGCTCAGGTGATGATCCTGAGGTCCTGGGACCGAGCCTCATGTCCTCCCTGCTCAGTGGGGAGTCTGCTTCTTCCTCTGCCCCTCCCCCCCACTCATATATTCTCTCTCTCTCTCAAATAAATAAATAAAATCTTAAAAAAAAAAAAAAACCTACCCTGTTGAGAAGGAAGTGGTATGTAGAGAGAGGCCCAGGTATAATGGAGCCACACTGGGGGTCTCCTGATAGGGACAGCAATGTTAGGAAAGGCTTTCAAGTAGAAGTGACATGGGACCTGAGTCTGGAAGGATGAGTAGAAATTTCTCATGTCATGTAGTGAAAAAGAAGCCTGCAGGTGGAGGAGTCAGAGAAGCTGTGAAAGGTGCCCCACCAGAAGGAGCCACATGGGCAGAGGAAGCATTTCAGGTGGCCAAGGCATGACCAGGAGTGTGAACCCAAGGCAGTCTAAAGTTGTATTCAGAAGACAATAAACAGAGTAGCTGGGCTAGAGCAGAGGATCCCAAAATGATGAGTAGAACTGGAAGAGGCATGTGGAGGTCATCTCTAGTTTGGCTGGTTGAGAGCTCAGCCAAGTGGCTGGTGGGTGGCGAGACAAGCATGAAATGGCTGCTATTAGGCTTAGAGAACTAACCTGGCTTTCTCATTGGCCCCCTCGAAGATGATGGAGCCACCCAAATCACTGTCCGGAGGACTGTGATGAGCTCAGTCCCAGACAGAATAGGTATTTATATAGTATCTCTAGGATGGATGCAGCACTGTTGTTCCAGTTGGCCCAGCTGGTATTGAGCAATACTCAAGGAAATGACTGAGGGCTCCAAGGCCCTTGTGAGAGAACTGAGAAAAAACTGTCAGATCTGTCATGAGCAAGGTGACTGGCAGCTTTCCAGCATGGCTGAAAAAGAGCCAAGTTGTAGAGTATGTATTCTAGAGTTTAGGCATCAGAACAATCCAAGTTGTTAATTAAAATGTTAGATTCTTAGACCCTCTACTAAGTCATAGTCTTACACAGACTGAAGAAGGTTAGTGGTGATGAAGTAGAGAAAATGGGGCCGATTTCAGGTTGTTTGAGGGTCTATGTGTTGAATGAGCATTAGAGTCAAATATCACTTGATAGTGCTTTCCACAGTGTGGCCTCAGTGGGTCTTAAAAATTTTTGTGGGGGGCGGCTGGTGGCTCAGTCAGTTAAGCGTCTGACTCTTGATCTCAGCTCAGGTCTTGATCTCAGGGTCATGAATTCAAGCCCCGTTTGGGCTCTATGCTGGGTGTGAAGCCTACTAAAAAAAAGAAAAAAAAATCGTGGGTGATGAAATCAATTTAACAACTGGCATTTTTTCCTTAAACTGGAATAAAAGTGATAAGAAAAGAGTAAGTAAGAAGAACAGATTCTTTTTCCCAATGCACTAGAATAGAATAGAAAAGAAAAACAAAGATGAGTAGAAAAGATAAGAAAAGGGTAAGTCCTGTTTCATGTAACTTTTTCTGTTTTATTGTAAGCACACAAGTGCACATACTGAACTATAATGTAAAATGCATTTTTTACTGTGAGTCATGGTCAACCAAGTTTGAAAAACACTGACCTAGACCATTTCATAGTTGTTAGTTATATTTTAAATCCAATATGTTTTATCTAATTTTGGTTTCAGAATATAAAGATAGAATGTGTTCTGATCTAACCCAAGATGAGGAAAAAAACCTGGTTATGTCAGACACTAAGTCAATCAAGTCACATACCATCTCTGTAGTGCTAATGGTCATGACTCATATTGTCGGGTCTTAGAGAACGACGTTGTGGTCAGAAGAACGTAGTCCAGTTCTCAAGACTCCATATAAAAGTGATCAGGCATCTTGCAGCTTCCCAAGAACAAGGCATTCAGAGAAACTTGGAGTGGAAGCAACAGGATAGGAGAAAATGAGACTAACTTCAAAAATCAATGTGCTTTAGATACTAAAATCTCTGTTCTGCGCATTCTCTATTTACAGCAGTGGATCTTTTAGATCTGATTCCTCAACCCAACTCTGAAAAGCCATACAGTCAAGAAGCCAGAAATGGTAGGTGGGGAAACAAAACATTAACTAGTCTTTTCTTATTCTATTAATACAACTGGGTAGAAGAGATCAAGTGTCCCCCAGATATAATTCTTTTCAAACCCTCCCCCCTTACATCCCCAGCTTTCTTTGCTGACACTTTTGGAACCTCCCTTCCTACATTTATAACCAGGGCTATGTCAATGGCAACTGAATCCTTCTTTCAGAATGAATAAGTAAGGAAATGGACACAGATATATCTGCAAGTCCAGATTTTCAAAGTCTATAACCTAGTTGTCATGGTATTTTTTGAAAACTAGGCTGATATAGACTTCTTTGGGGCTGACCAGTCAGGATATTCATCCACGCCTCCACACTCTTATTTGAATGTCCAATAAAATGAACAAATCCATGGTACCTTCCATTCTGAAAATGTATAGGATGATGGGCTTTGGAGTGGGGCTAACTAGGGGGAATTAGAATTGGTACATAGACGAGAAGCAGGGCCAAGAGAAGAAATGGAACTGACCATGTAGCTGCAAAATTCAGAATGGGAAGCAAAGGAACCAAGCAACACTGCAAGTAGAAATAGATTAAGGTCAGGAGGGAGGCCAGAGTTTAGTTTTGCTGTATGTAAAAGATCTAATGATGGTCTTGTGGTTTGATGTCCCTCATAGATAGAATCCCTCTCACACACGCTCCCTCAGTTGAATCAGATTGAATACAGGAATCCAGGAAACAGAAGAAAGAGGAGAGCAAACAAAAAGCTAATAAAAACATAGGTTACTAGTGGATTTTTAAATAGTTACACCTTTTCATTCTCCTTTTACAGATTCTGAAGACAAAAGGGTGGAAGAGCAACAGATAAATTAGACCAACTATAAAGATATTTGGTGGTGTAATAAATACGGAAAGACCCATGAATGCCTGTATTTAGGGAAGAATAGTTTGCAAGATTGACTTCCATCTTAGATAATGTTATGCTAGACAATAATGTGACTGCACACACACAAAAAGATTGAGTTCAATCATTTTGTGTTACCTGAATCCCCTCATAGGTTTGCTTTTTGTCCTATTTTCTCATATAGTTTGGTGTCAATTGCTGTTTTTTTAAACTACATTAAAATACAATGGTCAGTCATTGCATCCTTGCCTGTGCATGCTTCTAAGAGAGCCTGCTTCCCCCCACAGGCCATACCTAAGGCATGGACATGAGTGGCCATGTTTGCTCGGCTGTTCTTACCACCTTGGCTTCAACTGATTGGACTAGAATAAATACACCTTACTCAAGGGGAACCAATAGATTTTCTCTCACAGTGTCAAAAACTTGCACTGAGAAAAATGGCTGAGTAAGTTGGTGTCTGGATCATGGTAAAGGGAGTGACTTAGAGAGAGCCGCACAGTTCTGCTGTGGGGTCTTCAGAGCTAGTCAGGTTCACCAGCTTCATAAGGCCTGGCTGTATATTCTTTCTCCTTGGATTTGCTTGGGATAACTATCTTTACAATAAATCACACTTTTACTTTAGCTCAGATGGAATAGGTTTCTGTTTCTTGACACCAGATGTGGCCTGAATAAATGGAATTTTGAAAGGAAAGCATAATATTTTTACCATATAATTACATGGTTTAAGTAAAAATTACAGTCTTTATTAAAGCAGCAGTAGTCAAACCAATATGCTCATATACTTGCAAGCTAATAGAACCCTTTACAAATGCCAGTTAAGAACTTTTGAGAGCCCAGGAGTCACTTTAAAAACTGCTGATCTCTGTGCTTTCTCTGTAGTTTAAATAGCTTTTACAGTACAAATTACTTTCTGAAAATTCAAGAAAATTTCAGATGCTCCTTCATTGCTTCTGCACCATTATGATTCAAAACTGTGACTAACTTTTGCTTGTTTCCAAAGTCAGCACCTCATTTGATGTTATTGTAAAGAAAACTTAGTGTCTGTCAGTGTTAAGGACTTTGGGTAAGGTTTGGTGCCCTAATTCTACCATTTCCCCTGCCTCAGCTTGTGGTATCCTCAAGGGAGTATGACCACAAAGAACACTAACTGGGTGGGAAGTCATATGGTGCTCTACACATCGCTGGGCATGTGGCAGTCATTCCTCCACATACAGGGCTTCTTCCTGGTAAAACTGAGCTAGATTGGAAAATGTGACTCAGGCCAAGAAACTCAAGCGAAGTTTCCTGTTCCTTCCCCCTTGAATCGGGCATGCCGGTCACGTATCAGCAGAAACCAGATGGCAAAGCTGGAATAGAGAATATAACTATGAAGTCCATCACCTTTCAAGGCAGGGCCCTGCCCCTTAGTGATATACTTTCCAGTGGGTGAAGCCCTAACCATTCAGATAGTCAGCAGCTTCTTAGATGGACATCTAGAAGGGGCTGGAAAAAAACAGGGGCAGAGTTTCTCCTTTGTAGAGACACTGTAGGAAACATTCAGCCCCATCTGCAGCAGGCTGTTCTTTCCAGCATGAATATGAGCTATTGTATGTTTGAACCACTATAGGATGACCTGGATACTCTAGGATAGACTCCCATAGGAGCACACAACAAATTGATATTAATCATTATATATAGTTTCACACATTTGTCCCAAATTAATGTAAAATATGGAATTACACCAAAGGAAAGTATTAGTGTTTGCTATTTGTTTAAAAATAATGCTGGTACCATTTCAAAAACATCTCTCAGAGAGTTTTGTTTCAGCTAATGCACTAGCTGTCATGGTAGCCTGATGTGAATAATAGGCCAAGTTGGGAAATCTCAAGTCTGGTCTTCCCACTAGAAATAACTTTAATATGAGGCTATTAAAAATAATTTCTCTCTATTATTAAAACTGTCAACGATAAAGGCATGAGGGAGAAATATTCAGTAGAAAATTTAGATTACTCAGAAGCAGTATGCGAATATAGGTAAATAAATAAAGAAATATAGGTTAAGTGTATATGTCCTTATAACTATAGCAAGCACTGTTACTTGCTCTCCCTACAGCCCTGCCCCATTACCTTGACTAAGAGAACTCTGATTTTATTAGGATGTACAACAGGCCCAAACCCAGGGCATGGATCTTGCTATATCTAATCTAGTCCCATGTGCCAGTGACTGGTCTCGGGGCAAGCATGGGATCCAGTTTTGTATAGTGTTACATAAGAAGTCTTCTGGAGGTGTATGGGGGGGCAGATGGGGTTGGAGATGAATGAATGGCATAGGAAAAGAAAGCACTCTGGCTTCCACCAACTTCCTTCCTGTGTAAAATGCTCTTCTACCAGGATATAATGCTTGCAGCTTGGGCAGCCATTTTGTGGCTATGAGGAGACACATCACCAGTATGGTGCTACCAGGAGGGTAGCAGTGTGGAAAGAGGAAAAGCCTGGTTTCTGGGACTGAGACCTTGATGAATTAAAAGAGCCTCTGAACCAACTCTGGACCAACTTCAGAATTTCTGTCAAATAAACAATAAACAACTTATGGTTTAGACCCCTGTTAGTTGTTAGCCAGTGGAGATATATATATATATATATATATAGATATGACTGTATACACTTACAGGCAACAGCTATATAACTTGATAGAGAAATATCTTTCAATTTGTTATTATTATTTGTTTCAGAAGAACGAGGAAGAAATATATTTAGAAAATATTATATATTTAGAAAATCTGAACAGTTGACTTCACCCACTCAGCCAGGCTCCAAACCTTTATTGACTTCTATATTTATAATATTCTCCCCAATTCCAGTTAGTAAATGCCTAGTTCAGTCCTAGACCAGTGTTTTTCAACATTAGCATGTATCAGAATCACCTGTTAAAACAGATTGCTGGGCCCACCTCCAGAATTTCTAGCTCAGTAGTCTCAGGTTAAGCCTGAGAATTTGCATTTTTAACAAGTTCTCAGGGGATGGTGATGCTGCTGATCTGGGGACCATACGTTGACCAGCACTGTCTAACCTACGGGCAGTCACGCCCTAAGTCAGCCACACCCCCGTTGCCTTTTACTCATACCTACACCCCAGATAATTTAGTCTGAATTTCACTTTCTGACCACAGGATTCCTCTTCATACTTACCAGTAAATTGTTTTAGGCCTCCTTAAATGTTATCCAAACTGGTCTACCACAATCCTATGAGCCTTAGGTTTGCAGCCTGCCTTGCTTTTACACACACCATCTGCCCTGCCTAGTGTGTCCCCAAACCTTATCTCATTGAAGCCCCTTTAGGTCTGACACAGTGGGTGGCCTTCTCTTGATCAAATCATTATTTCTTTCTTTTTATCTCAGAGAAATGAAAATCATAGGACCCAACATAAAAGAGCCTTTTTCCTCCCTCTACTCCCTACCAGGTACAAGTGGGGGATGATGTTCTATATAATTGTCATTTACTCCTTTGCTGGCCTTAACATAAACATCTTTAACTCTAAAAACAAAACAAAACAAAACAAAACAAAACAAAAAACAAAACATCTTTAACTCTAAAATTGCCTTGTACCACAGCTGAATACTCACTCATTCTGCAGAGGACACAGAAAGGTTACCCAAGCTTATAGCTGAGCTGCTAGAAGCAAAACTAATAACCCTCCCAAGAGTGAGCAGCTGCTCTATCCTTCACATTAATTTCTTTTGGGCAGAAATTATGAGCCCACAGAAACATCTAATTACAACTTTCTCACTTCATTGGTGTAAAGAAGCATGATTTCTATACAAAGGGGCCAGAAGCAGGGGTTTTGCAGAATACACAGGCTCCTCCCTTCTCATAGGTATGCTACTTGTCTCTGGGACAGTGGTCACAAACTGGAGTGTGTATTGCTCAAGAACAACATGCAATGGTCACACTCAAGTAAGAACACCAAGCAAGTTTTCATCTTCATTCCCCAAGAACTACCTCGGTGTTTGAAAAATCCCATTATGAGCTCTCAGTCCCCATGCTGACTTGACCTCCCATCAGTGTTTGACATGTTTGATCATTTACTCTCTCTGATACACTTCACTTGCCTTCCAGGGCATGACACTCTCATGCTTTTCTTCCTATTAAATGTCCATGAAGTGCCCCCATTCCTTCTCAGTATCCCTTGCTAGTTCTTCCTCTTCTCCCCCTCATAATGTTGGAGAGACCCCAAGGATCTGTCCTTGGTTATCTTCTCTATTTACACTCAACTATTCATGATCCCAACTTGTCCCATGACTTTACATGCCATCTATATGTAAGTAACTCCCAAATTTGTATCACCAGGCAGTCATCTATTCCAAACCTCAGACTCACCTATGCTGCTTAATATTTCCAGTCAAATGGCTAATAGGCAAAGAAATTAACAAGTCCCAAATTTGTCTTTTAACTCCAACATCTCCCACACCAAACCTGCTCTCCCCACAGAATCCCATTAAAGGGAAACTTTATCCTTGCACTTGCTCAAACCAAACCCCTCAGAGTCATCCTTGACTTCTCTTTTTCTCACATTCTTCACTCAGTCTCTTAGAAAATTCTGTTAGCTCTACCTTCAAAATATTCTGGATTTGCTAGAAGCCAATCTCCACCATTACCACCCCTTCTATCTTTGACCTCCTACAAACTATTCTCAGGATGGTAGCCAAAGTGATGCTTTCTTTTAAAATGTGAATCATATTGTACCTCCTCTGTGTTAAAAGCCTGTTGAGGCTCTCCATCTACTTTAGAGTAAAAGCCAACGTCCTTACAATGGCCCCAAAGGCCCTATGAAATGTTTCTACCCCCACCTTTGCATCTCTCTACTACAGCTCTCCCCCATTCTCATCCCACTCTGCTCTGGCCACGCTAGCCTCTTGGCCATATCTTACATCTGCCAGACACCCCTCCACCTGGGAGCCTCTACTCAGAACCCTATTTCCCCAAGTATTATTTAACCAGCACCTTCACTTCTTTCAAGTCTTTGCTCAAATTATGCTTTCTTAATGAAGCCTACATGTACCATGCTATTTAATACTGTAATCAGCCCTTCTTAGCAATCCCAAGCCTATACTTGTTTCATTCCATAGCACTTAAATAGTCTAAAATTATATTGTTTGTTCATATGTTATACTTATATTGTCCATCTCCCACACTAGAATGAAGGAATCTTCATCTGTTCTGATGTTTTCTAAGTACCTACAACAATGCCGGACAATTGATATTGCTGATCAATATATGTTTTTGATCCCTCTCTTCTAAATTCTGACAATATCCATTATTATTTTTTGAAGTATAAAAGAAAAGGAAAACCAGTGAGTCTCTCAAGGAAGTGGAAAGGTTACTGCTAGGGTGACACTACTTGGTAGAATCCACCACCAAATCCTCTTCTTCATCTTTGCAGGATTAGGAGTGTAGTTTGCAGGCACCATTAGTGATCCTCACACAACCAAGACAACAAGACTAATGATGGAACAAGAATGCCAATTTGTAAATCCGAGATTT